AACCGGAGTTATTATCGACGCGACATATTTAATACGTCGGGGCTTAATGCCATCTTCACCTGCCGCCGACTCATTTTTTTTATTTTTTTATGATTTCATCAATCTCTGAAGGTGATACCGGGATCAACATTATGGAATCCATGAGCCTATCTATACTCAGGTTTTCGCCACTACTCTTTATCTGTACTAGTGGGTACTTCCCTGCATTTAGGGAACGCTGATTCATCTTATCTGCGGCTTCTTTGCCGATTATAATCTTATCTTGCAACAAAATTTATTCAATAACTCTCTCTTTTTGCTTTCTGTTTGACACGTCGTTCTTGTACGCCTGCCTCACCATGGACGTTATTTTAGTATACTTTTCGGTGAGACAACAGTGAAAGAGTGGCTCGCCTCCGCCTAGGCTAGCTGCGCCATCTCTGGCAAGTATATCCTTGCCGCCCAGTATTGGTGGCCGGTCACTTGAATGCCCCCCCATATGGCTTGGGGCTATTCCTCTACCAACGAGGTCAACTTGTGATGTACACTTTTGTAGACGCTCAATTCACGCTCTTAAACGCCCAAACATGCCAACATGTCGTGGTGCTTACCAGCATTCTTGTCCCTCTTCTTCTGAACTGTCTTGGTGGCTTGGCCAAGTCCCCATCTGCTGGGATCAAGGAAAACGAACTGTTGGGGTAGTAATCATTATCTCCTCCACCTAGGTCTGCCGCCCGTGTAGTGCCTCCGCCGCCCGTGTTGTGTGACGAACTGGGACATGTTCGGCTCTCTGCTAAATACTGCCTTGCATACAAGTTTACAAGACACCCCACCCGAAGACCCTCTCTCACTTATCTGGGCTGTATTCTCTGCCGCTACCAGAGGTACTTGAGTACATGAGTCACGCTCGGCACCAAAGCTACACCTTCTCTTTCAATGGAATGAACTTAACTAGGTGGGGGCTGCTGCCTCCGACGACCCGTATTCCGTCACAGCTATTTCCGAACTTCACCGTCTCACTGCTTTGGCTCGGCGCCACAAAAAGCGACTGTCTCGAAACCGTTGGCTTGAGTGGTGTGCGTCTCTTGGACCTTCCAGAACTACGACTTCGGTGTGGCGTACATACTGCGCTATGAAGGGGGCAGTGCGCCCCTCCCCTCCCCCCCCCCCCCCCCCCCCCCGATCCAGCCTTGAGTGCGTGTCTTGCCTCCGGACGTGACCCTCCACAATTTGCGACTGAAGCAGCACGTTCTTTCTTTACGGGCTCTGACTGCGCCCCTCCCCCTTTTACTCACATTTCCACCCTTCCTTTAATGTGGAAAGAGTTCCAGACGTTTTCAAACGTGATGTCATCCAGGCTTTGGTTGAGCTACTCTCAGCAATTGACGAGGCCTCAGCGCGGACTGCTCCCGGCCCGGACGGTGTCCCCTACGAAGCCAATAAGAACATAGACGGTCAGGCTTTGAGATAGATTCTAGACACTCTCAATGTGATCTGGATCTATGGAGATGTACCTACATCAAACATGCAGAGATAGTAGCCATCCCCAATCCTGGCAAACCCTCAGGCCTTCTTGCGAATCTCCGGACCATCGCTCTTATCTCCATTCTATGCAAACTATACTTGAACGTATGGTGGCCACGCGCCACAATTGGTGGCTCGAGCACTTTGGATGGTACAACCTGGAACAGATTGGATTCCGGCTTCACATGGGTACTGAGGGTAGCTTTGACCATCTTTCATCTGCGGTGTTCATCGGTGGTCGCTTCGATCGCATACGCACGATGCTCGCCATGGATGTACACCGGGCGTACGACAACGTGAGCCGCGAGGCTATCCTTTCCATTCTTCAACGGCTTCATCTAACTGACCAAATTTGCTCTTTCGTCCACCTCTTCTTTCAACATCGTTCCTTAACGGTGTGCTTAGGCGGGGCAAGCTTTGGACACTTTACACTGAAGCGGGGGGTGCCACAAAGATATGTCCTTGTTCCACGGCTTTTCAATATAGCACTCGTATCATTGGCTTAGGACTACTCGCATATCTCAGATGTTCACTTCCTGATATACGTAAATGATGTAACAGTGCGGACCACTCACCCCTCTGTGGAACGTCGAACACGGAGCCTGCAAGTGGCATTGGATTCTACTGTAATCTGCTGAAATTAGGTAGGGCTCACCCTCTCACTCGAAAAGCCTGCCTTCATGTCCATTCCTAATCGTTGGGGCCGCCGCATGCTCCCTTCTAATCCTCTTAGACGATCCCTCGCCGATCCAGTGCTGACGGAGGTGTCTACACTCCGCGTGCTCGGCGTGGACTTTACTGCCTAGCTTTGGCTCAGCGCCACCTTGGTTTCGCGCCAACCGCAAGTCAGCTTCCAGCATGCTGCACATTTTCCGTGGGGTCTCGAAACGGGAGGGGGGGGGGGGGGGGGGTTGCTAGATTGCCTGGATGTTGGTCCGCGCGATATTCCAACCTCGCCTTATTTACCGCACACAGTTTCAGCGCCTTACCCAGGCCGACTGGGCCTCATTGGGAACTCTTAATCGGGTAGCCACGCGGGTCATTTAGGCGCAGTTGAACTTTTTATTAGACGAATTGATTCATCAACGACGTCAAGCAGGGGCCTTAAAGACCGACGTAATACCAGTCTAGCGCCGCAGGCGTCGATGGCGGCGAAACAGTAGGATCGAACGCTGGGGCGAGGCTGACTCCACATCGCCACGTGGAGCCCCTTTTGTACACACGCGGGCTTCCGGAACAAATGGCGTAGAACATTCTGACCTCGAACATGCAACAGAGTTCTCGAAGTTAGCAGGACGCGACAATTATAAAAATAACAAAAGGTGCCTCCGTACTAGGCATCGAACTTCGGCTTGTTGTGTAAGAGCCAAACACGATAACCGTTCGGCCACGGGTGCGCTGCTGCTTGGGCAGCTGCGCGCGCGGCAATACTTGCATCAACTGAAGTTTGCTTCAGAGATCCTTGAAATATGGTACGGGGTAGTGATTGGCTTGGACCACATTTTTCTTTTTTACGAACGCTGATCCCCACCTGGACTCCAGTCGCCTGCAGTCACTTTAAGCACTACGTGGAGAGGAACGACCATGAGCTCACTAATGGCCGCACGAGGCCGAAGTCTAACATGTGGTCAAATTCTTGGCGGGTTATCTTGAGACGTTTTGGAGCTAGTCATCGAGCCCGAATACAGAATGGCGGTCCTAATCGTTACAATGTGATGTGTTACATTTTGTTTAAGTGGCCGCATAGTGTTGCATGGTAGAGCAAGGTCCGGAAAGTTTTTGAGGAGGTCATCATAGATAGAAATGTATTGAGAAAATGATGAGCGTGAGAGAGGTACTCTAGAAATTATCCCTGGAACAGCTGTCGTATCGTGAAGTCGAAAATATGTGAGTTACGCATGTCAACGGAGAAGAGCTGTCGTATCGTGAAGTCGAAAATATGTGAGTTACGCATGTCGACGGAGAAGTGAAAGTACGACAAAGAATATACCCTTAATATTGGATGATGCACGTCAGCAATAAGAAAAACCCAACGAAATATTTGCGGAAAAACCAAATTGAGTGAGAGTTCTTTGACCGTACGTAGCAATGCCAGATCTATTTCTTGCCTGAATGTTTGAGGTGCTCCGAACTTTTCGATGAAGAGCGTCGTATGTGACTTGGTTCCCTGTCGAAGGGGTGCAGCATTATTCATGAAATCGGTGACATCGTCTTGTAGTTTTTGAAAATGAAAAAGATGTGAATTCTTCGCAGATAGTTGATGATCACCGGTGAGATGTGTGGCCTCCGGTACCATGATAGAGCGGTGTCCAGAATCTTATCAGCGAGTTCGGCGAGGTCTTAGAAAAAAACGGGTTTGGAGGTTACCAGTACCCTCCGAACCTCAGATGGTAGACGATGTAAAAAAGGCTATTGTATGAGGGAAGTGACAAAGGAGGCGTGACTTCCCAAGAGCTGCTTCATGCTACGAGGAAGGTGTGATGGCTTTCGGTCTCCAAGCCCTTCAGATGTGAGTAGTTGTAGCCGATGTTGTCACGATGCTGTAGTTCTTCGTATTACTTCTTGCTTGAGACGCTCATATGGATTTCGATACGGCAGAGAAATTACGACGTCTCTTTCTTCCATTGCCTATACCGATGATAACGATGTGACGACCTCGCAAAGCATCGTCAGCTGTGCAGTGATGTTTATGCGGGCAAGCTCTACTTGCGCGAACAAGAATTCTGGGTCAGCAGGCAAGAATGTGGGCAGTTGTCCGCTGACAGCGGCGAGTTTCCAAGCCAGCTACTCGGTGACCGGTTCTTCATTTCCGGCGTTAGCTTGAGTCACGGCGTAAGTCTTTGTAAGGCCTCAAATACGGGAAATGCAAATGAACGCAACTCACTGGCCGCCGTGTAGCTGCGTCGGTTGTAAAGTTCAGTTTCTTGAGGTCTTGTCCGGGTGACCAAACGAAAAAATATTACGAACCCTTTATTTATTTGCATAATTTAAGACGAACTTATTTGAGAATTCTTGATGAAGCTCTGTCGTGCGCTCCTCCTCTGTTAGTCTCGTCTTCTTCTCCTCCTGGCCCGATCATACACATCTGTAATATCATTGACATCATTGTAACTTTTTAAATTTTTAATTCCCTTTCTTAATGCACTTCCGAAACAGAGAAGCCTGAACAGATTTTGCTTTTAGGTTATGAGCTCTTCATTCTCGGCCCGAAATAAGAGCGCCCTCTGTCACAAAAAGAAGGAAACGCTCTCATTTCTCTTTCCACCCTTCTACCGCAGCCGGAACGCCACAAAGACTACTACAAAAAAAAGCAGCCGAAGCTGAAATATGTTGCAATCGACATTTCTTGTTGCCCTTTTAACTCCAGCTGTGTGTACATGAAAGCAAGCACTCGTGACGTCAAATCTAAAAACAGATAGAATATCGCCACGGCGTCAACAAAAAGGAAAAGAAGCGCTTTCGCTAGCTAGTCGAAATACTTCGACTTCGTTGTACTTTTCCAAATGAGCCAAGTGTATTCAATGCTTGCTTCCCTGCTGCTTGTGCTGACAGCAATGGTGACACAATGTCACTGCGACGACTGCGACCCCACCGAAATCGAAAAGTATTTCGAGGAGCCTCCCGATGCGTGGAAGGTATTTGGTTTTATATTTGTATCATTATCCCTGACGTAAACATCAGCGTAGACCTTTTAAAGTAGCTTCCCCATGGAGAAATTTGCTCGATCCCTGAACTGTCCAGACACAAGCAGCTTTACAATTCTACACAAAAGAGAGCTAATTAGCCTGCCCCAAACGTGACCCGCAGCTCTGCAGGTAAAAAAGGTGGCATATATAATCAAATTTAATTATAATCAGTTCGATATTTTGTTTATGCCTTTTAGAACTGTGCGCATTTGCGAAGGAGCAGTACAGTAAAAATTATCTTGTAATTTTACAGTATATCTAAATATATCCGTTTAATATATATCACTATAGTTTCATTATCTGAAGTTCCTCTTAAAGTGTGTGTTAGGAACTTTCTGTTCTACTGGATCTCTGCGCATATTGACCACCCAGTTGGGCAACAAATATGTGCCAACTAGAAGTATATTTAATACTATATTTTGACGACTCTTACTAAAGTAAAATACGCTTTATTATTTTAGAAAGGTTTCATAAAATATCAGTTCATGGCATATTTTAGTGTCATGGTTTATGCCAAGGGCATTGTCGCAGCCATGAAAAGTATTGCGTTTTTTTATTTTATTTTTATTGACGCTTCGCTCGCTTTAGCAGCTCCAAGAAAGTGAGGGAGGCGCCTCAGTCGGCTGCTAGTCAGCGCGGATGGAGAGCGAAAATGGCAACTTTTCGAAGACCAAACCACCGAACAATTTGGCAAGAGCGCTATTTTAAACCTCGGCAGATCACTCAGAGGTTTGAGCCCAAGATCGTATATAATGCGTACACCCATTGGGCCTCTCAGATTGCCGAACATACCGCATAAGGTGGTGCTACTTGTCAAACTAAACTTAATTGTGCAGTCGGCTTTGCCATAATAGAGCTATTCTTTACTTGGTGCTCACCAAATTATGTCCGCCACAAAAGTAAGTTTCTGAGGATTTGTCATCGTTCACTTTTAATGTCTTGACATGCCGTTTAGACGTTGATATTGTTTTAATGTCTTATAACCGCCTTTATAATTAAAAATATGTTATTTTGGCAACTCAGATGAATTTTTATATTGATCGGGATAATGTATTTGCAGCTACGCACTATGTGCAGATCACACACAGTACTAAGGGTTTCTGAAACGCCTCACCTCATCCTATAACCTTTACTTTCCCACGTTTACAAGCATGGCAAAGACGAGGAGATTGCCGGTGGTTTGGCCATTTGCACAAAAGTGGTGACAATTTGTGGAGTCCGGCCTATGGGCGCTGCCATCTTGTTGCTCATCGGTGTATGGATTGAATGAAAGTGAACCATGCAATGGTTTCCAGACTGGTTTCGTTGTGTGCTTTGCGGCCGACTTTAGCGGGACTACTTTTCCAAGTAGCGCTGCTTCTGGCCGTGAAGAGTGTTTCTTGGATCAGTGCTAGGGATGTCGCGAACCACCCTAGGTTCGATTTCGAAAGGTTTCAATATTTGCGAAGCGAACTGAGGTTCGATTTCGAAAAATTTCGATATTTTCGTACCGACCGAGGTTCGATTTCGAAAAATTCGCAACTTTTGACCACAGCGGAGTTTCGAATTCGAAAATTTCGAAGCTTTCACGGTTTCCAAAATTTCGAATTCGAATATTTCGAATATTTTTTTACTTCAGGTTCGATAAATTCGAAGATCTCGAAATTCTTTGTAAAAAAAATTCGAAAACTTCGAACGCTTCGAATTTTTATAGACATGAAGTTCGAACAATTCGAAGATTTCGAATTTCTTTTTGCATAAAGTTCGAAAAGTTCGAAGGTTTCGATTCTCTTTTAACGCTAAATTAAAAAAAAAAAAAAAAAAAAACTTCGAAGATTTTGAATTTCTTTTTAATCCAAGTTTTCAAAGTTCGAAGTCCGATTTTTAAGTTTTTCCACAGTTTCAGTTTCAAATAACGTTTTCACGACTCACTGGTTTTCACGAAATCAAGTTTAGAAAAGTTAGGGTGTGATATCTAGATTCTGCGAAGTTGGTCAGGCAATTAAATGAGACGACCAGTGTCCCGGACGTGCTAGAATATTTGCCAGTGCAGAATTGTGATTGCCAGCCCCCGGGGGGGGGGGGGGGGTCTTTAACCTGCATCACGCAGTAGTGATTGCACGAACACTCTGTTTTACGAGACTCATCCAGTTCGAAACGGCCAGGGGCGAGCAGGAGGTTGAGGCTCAGAAAAACCTTGAAGCGACCTGGCAAACTACCTCGCCACCCCTTGCACGCTGATAGTAATCCGATCCGGTGAAGTTTATAATTGTCCTGGAGGTTTATTTTCTGGAACGGAGGAATCGCCTCGCAAAAAGCACAAAAGCCGACACAACTCGAGGTCGAGGAGCGTTCTACCATACAAGTGGCGTCGGAAGAGGAAAAACGGGGGGAAAGAGGGTAGCGGGGGGGGGGGGGGGGGGGGGAGGCTTCAGCCTTTTTCTCCCCCTTGCAGGTGTTTCGAACTGTTAAAGAAAACAATACGGGGAAAGAGGGCGTGGTCGAGCTTATTTTAATCTGAAATTATTTATGCATATCTATAGCTACTGTCGCTCTTCACTGCATAAAAGGTTGCGTAGATGGTCATTGTTAGAAACTCGTTGTCAGAAGGCACTGCTCGTCACATGCTTAGTGGTTCGGAAGTTCAAAGCTGTCTTTTCGACCTAAACACCTGTGCCGATAGTAAAAAAAAAACAAAAAAAAACAAGAATAAATGCGGGAATAAAAAGCAGGGAAAAAAAAAAAAAAACTATCAAGAATTCGTCGGAAGTGTTCTATTCTTGCATATTCAGAGGTTCAGAACTTCGAAACAAGTTTCTTTTACCAAAATGTGTACAGGCTAAAAGAAACACGTCCCAGAAACGTGAAGCGAAAAAAAAAAAAAAAGTTTTCTTTTAATGACGTGTTGAACTTGAACACTATTAGAAATCTTCTCCCATGAGTTAATTTTTCCTTAACGTGAAAAAACTATAAATATATTATTTCGTATTCTGCAGATGGCAATGATATGTACTGTCTGTGGTGTTAATTTAAATGCGATACCTCAAACAACTTAGACGAAAATAAATATCAAGTTTAGGTTATAATTGCATGCAGATACATGTTTGGACATTTCTTCGAAACTCACGTTGAATAACAATAATCACATCTTAAGACGGCACTTACCTAGGCTATACATAGATCATTCTTAAAAAAAGTATAACATATCTACCATAAATAGCTCCGGTTGCAGCGTGCTTCAAATCTGGCACAAACGATAATCGTCAAAAGCCCGTCGTCCTTCCTCGCCCCTTCGGGGATTTATTTCTTTAAACCTAAGCATGCCAGAACATTGAAATAAACGACATTGTCTTTCGTAAGGAACGCAGCACCGCGTGTAAAAGTTCGAGAAAAAAAAATTACGAATGTACCCCACTACTTGAAATCAAATGAAACCGTCCGCCGGTCTTTCGAAGTTCGACGAACATCGAACTTTTACTCTAAAAGTTCGAAGTTCGTCGAACTTCTGACTTTTCAGAATCCGAAAGTTCGAAACTTTTCGAATTCTCTTGATAAATAAGTTCGAAAGTTCGAAATTCATCGAATTTTTTGGTCAGTCAAGTTCGAAAGTTCGACAAGCATCGAACCTTGCAGCGCAATAAGTTCGAAAGTTCGAAAAAGATCGAATTTTTTAGCGTAATAAGTTCGACGGTTCGAAAAGCGTCGAACTTCTTAGCTTAACAAGTTCGAAAATTTGACCTCCGTCGAATTTTACGATATAGACAATTCGAAAAATCGAAATCTTTCGAACCTTTCGAACCGCTTGATTCGATCATCGAAACTTCGATTCGAAAAACGTTCGCGGCATCCCTAATCAGTACGCTCTCTGATGCCAACCCCAAATACGCGATTGTCTTTGGTGCCTCAAATTATTTCCCCTTTTTTGTACCAAGTAACAAATTAATTTGCTCGAAACAATATCGTTCGCTTGGGTGATAATACATGTTTCAGTTGCCACCATTTCCGTCATAAATAATAAATATTGACATGGTTAAATTTCTATACTCAAACTACTTAGGTTTTATTGCAATTCATGTCAAAAGTCACTGAAAAAAGAAATAAAGGGACACTGACACCCCTCAAAACATTTTTTGTATCTTTTGCCAGGCGATTCAATATAGTGTCAAAAGACTACCCAATCAATATTTTAGTACAGCGTCACGTATATATTTTTAATAAAATCGAGAAAAAACGAAACTGCTTGAGACCGTAACCTAAACTGAACTGGGGTAGAAGAAGGATTGTAGAGGACGTGGAAGTTGGTCGAGAGTCACGTAAGCCCACCCAACCGCTTTTTTTTTTCTTTCTTTTCTTTTTTAGAAATTTCTCACCTCGCACTTCGCACAAAAAGAACGAAAAAGACAAGCAGTACGTCTTCACGTTTGCTCTTTTTTGAAGCTCTTACCGGTTCGGGTTCGTAAGACGAGCCCCGTCTTCGGCCAGGCGAAGAAGCGAAGACTCGCCGACGTCTTCGTCCGAATCAGCTTGGTGGTCGGGCGTGTCGTACGGAATAAATCCTAATGGTTTTGACCCGTAAACGATTCCTCTTTCGGAGCTAGACGGATTCGCCCGTACAGCGAACAACAATTCTGAAGTAGAGGTCTCACGCCCGTCGACCGCCGCCATCGCTCAGCTCGCTTCGTTCAGCCGTCCAACCGGTACTCCCGCGATCTCCGCGGTACAACGGCATGTTGAAAATTAAGCAGAGAATGGACAGAGTGTTTCCGTTTCTCGGTGCAAGTTTCTTGTTTTTTTTTTTCAATCAATGAATTTGCAGTTTCTAGAGCCCAGCTCTTAGGCACCCGTTTCCGGCTTGAGCGTCGTCGCCGTCGCCATCGGCGTAACTGCGCGTTCCATTATGGGACGTTTCCCATAATGACGTTATATGTGTCGTTACCTGTGACGTCACGGGGGTCGCGAGTGACGTCACGAGGGTCACGATGACGACATGAAAGTCACTCGTGAAGGTCACGACCATGGTCACGACCTTTACGAGGCCTTCACGAGTGACGTCACGAGGGTCACTAGGGTAACGAGTAACGTCACAAGTGACGTCACGATGGGGGAGGAAGGAAGGGAGGGGAGGAGGACGAGAATGAGAGGAGGAGGAAGGAGGAGGAAGATGGAGGAGGGGAGGAGAAGGAGGAGGGGGAGGAGGAGGAGGAGAGGAGGACGGAGGCGGAGGAGGGGCATACCTTCCCCTCCGTACCTTCCCATCCTCCTCCTCAAGAGCTGCGCTCTAATTCGGCATTACAGGGAATTTTAAACGTCTTTCAATTTTTAAAAGTCACAAAAATAAGTATCATACCCCTTTTTTTTAATATTGAGTGTGTGCTTTAGATGACCCACGACTTTGATTATATTTGGTGTGTGTTTCTAAACCACAAAAAAACAGCACGTGACCGCGGAGAAGAGAGTGAGCGCGACTCAAACCGGTCAGTTCTGGGTCGGCGGTTTTCAGGCAGAAAAAAAAAAAAAGTCCCCCAGCTACAATTTTTGGCCTGGGTAGCTGGGCTTTTCATGTGTCACATATAAATAAAAACATTGACGAGTATAAATACCCTGTCAGTATCCCTTTAACCGCATGAAAGACATAATTTGTCATGTTGTGTTTACTCATGTTATTATAATATATTTCGCCCCATTGTCCACACCGGCTGCCTAGTTCACGGTTTAATGTGTGAAGGGTTCACGTGTTATGAAGTGCAAACAGTTAGGAGTCTACACCTTATTTTGTTCAATACTATTTACACCCTTCCCTTACAATTACAGCTGGTGAAAGAGTCCCACGATATATTTTATCTCGTGTATCACTCAAAAAATTATGAATTCGATAGAGATCATTTTTGTTTGTGGGCACTTAGAAATGCGATATACTCGCATGAGAAAAAGGCACAGTACACATTTCATTACTGGAATGATTTAGAAAGGTAAGTTCTTGTGTTCATTAGCAACTTTTTACACAATTTACAGAAAATTTCTCAAAAGCAGTGCGACCGTTTTTAATCCGTTTTTGGCTATATGCGCAGATGAAACCTTCTCCTGCCATAATTTTTTGCTGCATCTTTCTACTTTTTATTATCAAATCTGCGATTAGAATATATACCAAAAAGATCTTCTGGGCTAATTGGGTACCATATCAAGAGCGTAATAGCGCGAAAAACGCGTCATTACTGTCCACTATTTGAGCTGATAAACTGTTAAGATTATGCAGTAATGCATCAAATCAATAAGCGAAATGCATCTGTGGGGTCATTTATAAAATCCCGCTCCCGCGTGGAAAGGTGTGTTGGGCCAGTCTGAAAGACAATATGACCGGTGTGTGAACATCCGACTAAGAGAACACTGCCTCTTGCCCAAGTCATTCAAGGCAGGATATCTTGCTATACAATTCTGTCGACTCTAAACGCGCACCAGTATTCCCCAAATTCTTGCACTGAAAGGGCGTCATATCCAACGTCCGGGAGGACTCTTCTCAAACCTTCATGACCAAAGGGGGACACATACTTATGTATCAGTACGACTTCAGTAGCATCATTGGCTAAGAATATGCGCTATATGAACCGTAGTTCCTAATGCTGAGTAAATATAAAATTTATTTTTCTGTTTTAATATTTTTATTTGGTTTTAGGCTTTCAATTTGTCCACGTTTTTGAAACTCCATATTTACATCCGTTTTGTTTCCTCTCATTTGTGCTTTCCCAAAACGCTTTATTTTTGTAATCTTCATTTTGACGACAGTGATCACGGAACCATCAACCTTTCCTTAACATTGAAACGTCAGTGGCGTGATATCACCTCCCTTTTCACTTCCCTTATTCCTCTTTTCCGTCGTGTTGTTTTCGCTTTTGATAAAATATATATATTCGCACTCTTCCAGAGTAACAGGATCGGTGACTGTGTATGCTCGAAAGAGCGACAAAGCATATGAAAAGGAAAATTATTTTCTTGTGAGCGATCCCGAGGGTAAGAAGGTACCTAATCAGTAGAATAGTGCAAGCAAACTTCAATGCTGAAGCTAGTACTTTGCTCGCTCATAAACCGTAAATACTGATAACCAATCACAATTGCAACACCAACGACAGCCCAATATCTTCAAACAGGACGCTTTAGGAAATACGAAAAGTGGAACCCAGAAGGGAATAAAGAGATCTTTACTTGCCTATACTATAGTGAAACGAAAAAAAACAAAATACATTTCGCTTCGTTTAACTCGCACATGATTTGCTGTATTTTTACTTCTGTTAAGAAAACAGGGGTGATTGTGCAAGAAGTCTTCACTACCACAGTATTACAATATTGCAAACGTATTGTAACTATTTTATAATCATTTTAACTCGGTTATATATTCACAACACATAAAGTATAAGAAATATTATATAAGATTTGTCATGATTGTTGTGAAGTATTGTTGGGGCGCGATGTGGCGAGGATTTGACTTAGTATAGTCGATATTTTTGCGAATCGTTGAGATCTATGCATGGTATACGCACTTGGCTCTCGCACGTGCTAAATACTTAGTTATTAGCAAGCTTTCTGTCACTGACGGAATTTTTTACAAATATATTAATTAATCAAAAGGAATACACTTTTGAGCGTTTTTGTGTCCAGGTACAGTCTGAAATATAAAAAAAAATTATATTATAGCGACTGTTTGTCGCGAGAGACAGTATGGTACAGCAACAAAAGCTTGCCACATTGCAGGAGATGATGCATGAAGGAATATATCAAGCTCTTCGCACCAACATGAAGCCTTGGCATTTTCTTAAAATCTCAAAGCGCTAGTTATTACGAAAAGAGTTCCGATGTATACTGCGCTGGGGGCAAAGTTACACTTGACACATAAAGACGTAAACTACGAGATGATATGAAAGACAGTTTACAACATGACGTACTTGTGAATGCGCAGTTCGCCCTCGTGAGGAACGCTTAGACACGTATATGTTACCTTCTTTCACTCGTCCCACTTTAAGTTGCGAAAGTCGTTGTTACAAGATGATCTCATACTTTTACTTTCCGCGCAAAAGAAAAAAAAATTTAAAAATCCCCATGTTTAAAGCTCGGAGCTTGGCAAGACAAATATATTTTATTTTTTCAATCTGAAATTATATTGAAAATTATTTGAGGACGTGACAATAAATAAGCATTTTAATCAACTCGAGCAAATTCACATCAGTCGTAGAATACCCAGAGTATATTCCCAAATGACTGGGAGTGTATTTCGCGGACAGTCGAAAAAAAAACACAAATATTATTTATGTCAGTATCACTGAACCCCGCCCATGTCCCTTAGAAGGGCATTTTAAATAGATTTAGGACTGTAAATATTCAAGGAGTACTGTAATGACCATTCGTAGATTAATGCCTATGAAAATGCCGTATCGTATGTCTTTTACGATGTAGAAAGAAAAGAATTGAAGATTTTAGTGAGACTGATTTCATATTATATATGGTGGAATGTAATGGAACGTGAACGAGTCCTAAATATTTTAATTGCAGTAGGGTCAACGCCTGCCGCAAAAAAAGAAACACGTCCTGCCAAACAATCAAGTAAGCGCTGTCTTCGAAAGAATAAATTACAGTTTTACATTATGTTTCATTGGATACTTAGGCGGTACAATCTTTTGGGATCAAATCCGTTTCTTTATTGTTTTTAGCGAGGTTATGGCTCTAGCCTAAAAACGCCAAGGTATAGCCAAATGTTACCTTCTTTGGCCAGAGTATGAGTATATTGACCCTAATCCGCCAAACAAGTGCGAAATTTAGGATTCAATGCTGGTAGTTTGGCTGTCATCTGGCATCTTTGGGCCTAATTCACCAAATAAGTGCCAGAGTGAGGCTTCACTTCTGGTAGTTTGGTTTTTGTGTTGAAACTTTGGGCAAAAATTGTCAAACAAGTGCCAAATCTAGGCTGCACTGCTGGTTATTCGGTTTACACGTTCACCTTTGGCTCAATTCTGGCACTTTGTGAATCATGCGGCGAGTCAGACAAAAGCCAAAGAAACGCCAAAGAAAAGTACTCTGGCACTCACGCCTTGGATCAAAACCGTATCTGATTCAATTTAGGACAATAGGATTGCCATACTTGGACTACGTCAGGCGTTTCACTGGTGTGCAACCTGGGTAAAACCTAGGGATTCATTATTTTATGTAGAAAGAACTTTATCAAAATATTCACTAGTTTAAATTTCGCATTTACAACAAAGCTATAGGCGTTAAATATTTCAAGAAAAACACAATAAAAAGAGTAATGTTTATAAATTAATTCTACAGTCCTTGTTTTTTTATAAAACGGTGCTAAAAATAAGCTAAGAATATCTGATATTTTTTGTATAATAAAAAGCTACAAGATTCGTTTAAAAAGGAGCCCTTGCAGGTCCAAGGTATGAACCATGAGCAATCAAATATTCCTCTACAAAATGCTATAGAGATAAATAATTAAAAACCAATGGAAATGAAAACAATCTAATTATTTCATTCAGTAAACACTACTAGCCAAGGCGTGGTAGCGAGGTCATGAATGCGGCGTGAGTGTAACAATTCATCTTTGAAATATTTGTATGTTTGGTGCAATACGGTCAGAGTATTCTATCTGTCGTACTAACATGACATAATAATTGTTAGAGTTACAAAATATTCTGATTCCGCTATTCAGTGACAAATTTACGCTATACCAGGCTGAAACAGTGGAGCCGAGATAGCTCCAGATATTTCGCCTCGAATTGACATCATCATTATCGGCTCAGTTATCGAACGGTTGAGCAATTGCGAGTCGATCCGGCGACCGAGACATATACCTGGAAAAGGTGGTCGCAGCAAAACTATGTATTACTCTAAGGTTTCTTATAATTAGAAACTTTCGGCGCTTTGTTTCCACTTAGTGCCAGTATAAAGATCTCCGAGCAGCCTAAGTTTGCCATTGAATATTGTGGAGCAGAATTTTGGATTCTACTATTTAACACCAGCAGCGATGGGCAACCAATATCTGATGGAAATGTACAAGCTAATACGAAAACATAGGGGCGAATTAGTGAACGTAGGGCGATTCGTTTTCTTATTATGACGTCACATTTTTGCGCTCACGTCTCATAATGGATAGCATTATCAGAAGGAAACGACGCTTTTTATGAAAATCTTTAAAATTATTTTCAGCTGGACAAACGCACGCTATTTAGGAAACATATTCTATGACCCTTGTTAGTTGCTAGTCTGATACACATTATTGCCATTTTTTCAATCAGTTAAAAACTAATTGAATTGCGTTTTTACCTTTATTCACACAGGTGGAAAAAGGGACGGAAAGACTTACCAGTTGCTTTTCACCGACTACAAGTCATGTGCTGTTCTTAAATCTTCATACTTGGGTATTTCATACCACAACACTTGGGACACTAAACAAAATATCATTTAACAAGATTACACAAGTTAATTTAAAGTACATAGACTATGTCGATACACAAAGCTGAGGCTAAATTCTTACAAACTTATGAGTGGTATTTTAATAAGCGTGTACGGTTTAAGAACGACTGTACTTCAGTGCATGAAAAACTTGCATCCTTTTGCACCTTTCTTTTGTGCGTACATATCCGGGTGTATCAAAATTGAATAATCTGAACTACTTATAAGGTGGTCCAAGTAACCAGGCTCGATCTAAAAGGGACGGTAAAAATCGACGCCTGCACGTAGCAATCTAAACTTTTCGTTAAAGGTGTATTTCACAGGTCGTTTTTTTTTTTCATGTAAAATTACAAAGCGTAGTTATCTTTCTGTAGAAAATAAGGCCAAGGAACTTGCCAGGGCCTACGGCGGGCAGCGACGCAGACGACAGGGGTTCAGTGGCGGGTGACTTGTACCACCCTATACATCAACTTGTATTATAATTAGGTTATATTTATGATATTTAAGAGAACTAACCTATGTTTCCCAGGCAATGTACCCAAGGCAGAGCGAACTTCGTTAAGACATTGAATAATCAAGGTCAAAACAAATTTAAAACATCAATCTTGTGTCGATTTTTTTTTAAATAAAGATTTAGCGTGTTTGAAAAACACGCGTCGCGATTAGAAACATCGTTTTGATATCCAATGTAACTGGCACGCAAAACAACTTTGCATGGGGGTTTTAAGAGAGCGCGCGCGGGTTAATGAAGTATTCAAACAAACTAAGCACAGTTCAAAATTTAATCACAGCATGTGTACGTCTCGTACCATGTTATTTTCCAGGTAAAAAAAGACGCACAACAGATAATCAAACATAAAATCGCAGATAATTTTAGATTATTTCAACCATGCCGGATATTTTAAATAATCTCAAAACGTTGGAATAACCTACCACAGCCAGTTTACTTACAAAAGCGTTTTCTTTTCGGCTATGTTCCAGGGGTTCAAGTATGGGTAACGGATACCTACTTGAAAACACACAATGATGTGCCATATGGATGTTCCTTGGCTTATGATTTGATGGCTGACCAAAACAAAACCATCGCGTATGACTGGAGAAAATGTGGTGTTTTTAAGCATACTGAGCTATAGAAAATAAAACGTAAGGTCTTCCTACATGTGTGCGATTGAGTCTTCACTACGTAAAGATTTTTCAATTTAGATTATCTTCAAACAGACACTCTGTTTTAGGGGTGTTTGAGTTCTTATGGGTGTGAACATAAGAAACGCTTTTAATATACTAAACCTTCTTCATTCTTAGCGTACAGACAATTCGCCCCTTTCACGTACTATCGTGTCAAAGGCAGTTTTAACACAGAATATATTGTGTATTTCTTCGCGGTAAACTTGTACAGATGAACGCGCTATGTAATTTAGGCCTCAACAGCGTGAGCATTGTCCCGCGTAGCGTCTGTAAAAGACAGTCATGCGAAAGCTAGTGCATCAGCGGGACAGGAAAGCAAAGTTCACGTCCCTTTGCGATTGCGAACCCGTTTCAGCCCTGCAACTCGCATTTCGCTACTCTGCTTTTCCGAATCACCCACTTATTTTCTTCTTCCTGTCCACCAGCTAACCCTTTCACTATATGTGCAAGCATGCTCGCTAAACACCTTCTAGATAGAGGCCTCACAGAGCACCGTTTCATTGCGCTTGAAAGATAGCTCCTAGAAGTCAGGACCTACGTATGTCCCTCCCACACGTCATCACAAGTGGACCCGCGCAGCACCTCTGCAGCTTGCGCCAGCGTTGCCTTCAGCGCGTCTTGCAGCGTCTCATAACAAGTGCGACGCCAGCACACTGCGTCGCTGAGACGGACGCATCTGCCGCTTTGTGCCGGCTCTCATCGAGCTTCAATGTGCTTGATGCAAGGGGAAACTCGGGGTTCCATTAGCGTTGACGTCATGCGCTGGCCTTGTCTTCAAAGTGGCATTAGTCTAACTACCTACGTCGAGTGAAGACCACGAGTCCGCAGGACATCCATACTTCACACGATGCTTGGCAACCATTCAAGGAGTGTAGATGCTTTACATCCAAGTAGATGACGCATATCACCTCCAACAGGATGGCCGATCGACCCACACACGATGCGACTCCTGCGAAACTCCGCAGATCAAATCATGCACATGATGAGCCGGCTCACCAGTCGCAAACATGGACATAAAGAGGTCGACCTCATACGGATGACACAGGCCCTCACCCTCAACCGCATCACGTACCTCAAGCTGACGAAGAAGGACAAGGGGCAACTAAATATCATCATCAGGAAAGCCAACTAGTTGAAGCTGGGGCTTCCCATATACATGTCGACCAGGCACGAAGCCAGGATTTCGTTTCGGGCCGGGGGGGGGGGGGGGGGGGGGGGGGCGCTCATGTCAAAATGCTGTATGAGGGGGAAGGGAGAAAGGAGGTCCCAGCAAAATGGAAGATTTCGGGGGGGGGGGGGGCGACCTCATGCCCCCCCCCCCCCGGCTACGTGCCTGAAGTTGACTAAGAAACTGCTTAGTCTAGGGGTCCAAAAGACGACATGGAAAATGCAGAACCGCAAACCAAAAAACAGAGGATACGACTCTTGACCACCTCAACAGGCAAACACATGCTGAGAACCCTCGGCTTCGCTATCCCGAGAGAGATGTAGGAAACGACGCAGATTTCGGAGGAAATCCGCGAGAACATCCAGGTTAACCCTATCTCACGGCACATGAGCCCGACACTACATGCCAATAGGAGGGCGGCGAGAGCCAAATTCCTGGCAGAAGAATACAGCGGGAAGAATAACGTCCGATACACAGAGGTACCAACGTACCCCACCGAAACCATAGCGGCGGCATGCGTCGGCGGACCGAGCGGCGGACCCCTGGTCATTGCCTTGCTACGTACGAATCTCCCGGTCGTGGCGGAGGACCTGGACATCGCACTAGCTCTCACAGCCGCCACCCCAGAATCACCGTCGCTCACTATCCTGACGGACTCTCAGGCAGCCCTACGACGCTAACTCGCCGGAAGAACCTCACCTCAAGAGCTCCACGTACTCGGAACTGTTGTACCCAACCACCGAAGGGCTACCCTCGACTAGACGCCCGGTCACGGCAACGTGGAGGAAACTCGGCGTGTGCACGCTGCGGCTCGAGCTGGTATCCTCCGAGCCACCCCTCCTTCCACGGCCAGCGGCCGCCGCTCAACGAGTCGAGTCCTTGTCCCACAAGAAGAAGAGGAGGCACAGCTCCTTGCCACGCCCGTACACCCCACGGACCTTTTAGGCTTTAGCATTCTGCGGGGAATACAGAAGAGGGTACCCACCGCCGCACAAGACGCTGACCCGACAGGAGACCACAGCTTGGCGACAACTCCAGACAAACACATACACACACTTAGCTTTATTGCACAAACTCCTTCCTCAACAATACCCAGCCGAATGTCCCTTTGGTGGAGTTCACCCACTCCTCTACCGCGTTACGTGAGTCTGTTCCTTGAACCCCTCCATGTCCCCTTCCACCCCTCCCTCCGAACCCGAGGCCTGGGAAGTTTCGCAGCGCAGCTCCTCCCCCAACGACCAGCTCGCCCTGATCCGGCGGGCAAGAGCTACACCAGAAAGCACTGGAGCCCAGGGGGGCTATGTTGCACGTTTTGGACTCCCAGGAGACTAGGAAGAAGGATGTGACGTCAAGTATACAGCAAACGCAGATTGGATGTTGACAGAAGAAAACAAAATCAACATCCAATCTGCACCGTCGTCTTTTGGCTGAACGCGCGCGCTCGAGGTATCTGTCGCTCGAGACGCCAAAGCACTGTCGAGGCTAGGAAGCTCGCGCTGGCGGCAGGCCGGCTGCAGCTTCTCTTTTCTGTTTTCTTTTTGTTAGTGACTACAGTGTTCAATACCAGCGTCCAGAGCCGTATATGTGGAGGGTTTGGTCAATGGGAGGCGCGGGCAGAGCCAGGGCGTGCACCAGACTCGGAAAGAGGGCTTGGCATGCTCTCTTGACCAAACAGAAGCCGAAAAGAATCCCCTAGCGGTGGTAGCGAGAAACAGTCTGATCAAAGGTCTATGTTCGTAAATGGTTTTATTAAGCGCGTAAGAGTGGAAGTGTAGTAACTCTTCGTGGTTGAAAATAGGCTGCACGTGTTGTCTTGATAATGATCATGCAGAAAGATGTAAGAAACGAATGCGCCGCTCAACTATGTTTTGCTCGGACAGAGTGTGACTGCTCGGACGGCAGATTCCCGGTCCTCGGCGCTTGGCGTAAGGATTATGTCGATCGTTCCGCTAGTCACACTCCTCCATCATCATTTTGGATGAGCGTGATTGAAACATCACCTGTACCATATTTTCAGTCATCGAGAGTTACTCTAATGCAGTTATCAGGTTTGTTTCTCGCGACCACCACCAGGGTATTATTTCCGGCTTCTGGTCGGTCACATTCAAATTTATGAAGACGTCCTGGAACACACCCAGCCCGCTTTCAGCCAATGGCGCCTCCTCATTTGTCTCCTATACTTCCCAACGAATGGCCAAACTCTCTACATATACGGCTCTGCCAGCGTCGATTGGCGACGTGAGCGATCGAAAGCGGCGCTGTGGTCGGCCCACTGCAATTGGCCGAGTGCTGACTATGACGTCAACAAAGGATTTCTCATCGACGCCAAGAAGAGGAATGTAAGAACTTCAATTTTGCCGGTGTCGGCGGTGTTGCTTTGAAAGCGCTATGATTCGAGGCTTTCACCATGCTCATTACAAACACCATCGAACTTGTTGTTCACAAGGTAATGACGTCACGAAAGGTAACCAAACGTGGGCGCCACCGAAACATCTCGCCGCTAATAGAACCCCAAGGAACCTCGATATTTCATAAGTGTGTCGTGAAAAAGTGTCGTGAAAATTTCCCTGATGATGGCTCCTGCAGAAGGCGGGGCAGGCACGACGACATGAGGCGCGAGGGTTCGATGCGCATGCGCGGTCGTGCGCCTCCCGGGCCTCTCGGAAGCGTCGGCACACTGCATCGTCGTTTGTCATGACATAGCCTCCTATATACTGACAAAGCCTGGCAGATCGCCACGAGAAGTGGCAGCCGAAATGGAAAATGTGGAGCGGCAGACAACGGATGAGATTAGAGCCACGTGACTGGCGCCCCGCTGAGGCAAGACGCCCAAACACGCTTCTCCCGAGCGAACAAGTGTGTTTCGGGTCCTCGCCGCTGCAAAAGCTGTGCGCTGCCGTGCAGGGTCCCGGAGAAATGGCTCTTTGATGCTGTGTGCTACCAGATCCTCGCGCTCCGAATCTGCGACCGGGCACTCTATGGCTCCGTCGTCGAACTGCCAGGCTTTGTCAGTAGAGAGGAGGTTATGGTCATGTCGTCTGGTGTTGGTCGGCCGCTTTAAAGAAGTGCTAGCATTATAATAAGAACACAATTATGCATGCTCAAGTGGCACACATAGTATCCGAAGGTTCGAGAAGCTTTCTGCTGGTCAGACTTCAGTGTAAGATCTACATTTCGCGAGCGATACGAAAAATATGTTCCTCCCAAATCCAACGCTCCGCAAGAGACGATTTAAGGCAACCTCTGCAGTCAAATTTGGCGCATGTGGCTCCTTCACCACCGATAAAGAGTTGGCGGCAAAAGTGAAAGGGAGGCGATACTCGGGATATGTCATTTAATTACCCTATCGCAATCAGCCACCAGGAGGGGCTTCATAGCGTGCAAAGACTATGGATTGTGCGCCCAAGGCGAAGAGCAAGTCGTCTGCTTCTTGCAAAGAGGTTAGGGTAACGTCAGAACGATGCCCAATTCTGATTGGCTTTCATTGGAAGGATAATGGGTAGAGCTAAGTGATAGATGCCTTAAATTCTACCCACTTTTTTCAATCAGCCAGTAAAAAAGCATGGCGTTCTCACATCATCGCAACCCCTATCCAAGAAGTAGGCGAACTTGCGTTCCCATTGCCCAGCAATTTCGCAAGTGTTTCGGAAGCACCTGCTCCCTGGCACTTCAGGCAAGCGGGAGAACACACCCTCCTCATTAACTACACTCATGGGTCATTGCAGCGGCTAGCGTTTTCGCGGTTTCTCGGCTCTTATTTCTCGGCCCAAAATAAGAGCGCCCTCTGTCACAAAAAGAAGGAAACGCTCTCATTTCTCTATTCACCCTTCTACCGCAGCGGGAACGCCGCAAAGACTACAAAAAAAAAAAAGCAACCGAAGCTCAATTAAGTTGAAATTGACATTTCTTGTTGCCGTTAAAATTAACTCCAGCTGTGTGTACTTCAAAGCAAGCACTCGTGACGTCAAATCTACAAACAAATATAATATCGCCGCGGGGTCAACAAAAAGGAAAAGAAGCGCTTTCGCTAGCTCGTCGAAATACTTCTACTTCGTTGTACTTTTCCAAATGAGCCAAGTGTTTTCAATGCTTTCTTCCCTGCTGCTTGCGCTGACAGCAATGGTGACAAAATGTCACTGCGACGACTGCGACCCCACCGAGATCGAAAAGTATTTCGAGGAGCCTCCCGATGCGTGGAAGGTATTTTGCTTTATATTATTATCCTTATCACTGACCTAAACATTAGCGTAGACCTTTTAAGGTCGCTTCCTTATGGAGGTATTTGCTCGGTCCCTGGACTGTCCAGACACAAGGAGCTTCAAAATTCTACACAAAAAAGAGCTAATTAGCCTGTTGAAAACATGACCCGCAGCTCTCCAGGTAAATAAGGTGGCACATATAATCAAATTTAATTATAATCAGTTCGATATTTTGTTTATGCCTTTGGGAACTGTGCGCATTAGCGAGAAAGCAGTACAGTAAAAAATTATCTTGTAATTTTACACTAGATCTAAATATATATGTTTAACATATATCACTATAGTTTCATCATGTGAAGTTCCTCTTAAACTGTATGTTATGCACTTCCCGTTCTACTGGATCTCCGAACATATTCACCCTCCAGTCGGGAAACGAAAATGTGGCAACTAAAAGTAAATTTAACACTATATTTTGACGACTGTCACTAAAGTAAAATATGCTTTACTTATTATTTTAGAAAAGTTTCATAAAATATCAGTTCGCGGCATATGGTCATGGTTTATGCCAAAGGCATTGTCGCAGCCATGACAAGTATTGCGTTTTTATTTTATTTTTATTTTCACTTCGCTCAGTTTAGTAGCTCTGTAGTCATTACAAATGATATATACATTATTATTTACATATTTACATTGAAAGTTAAACACGGGTCAGCCTGAGGGAACGAAGATCCATTGCTGGTTGCTGCAGTTCGACCGGCGTTCTTTCGCGACTGCGATGGTGTCGGGCTGCTCGAGTCTCTAGCCTTGCTCCTGCTTGGCTTGATGCCAGATGCGCGCGCTTGTGCGCGGTACTCTGGCTTGTTCAATATTGGTCGCTATAGGGTGCCTCAATGTCCTTCTGTTTAGGGTGATGCCACCCTTTGTAGTACCCTATGCCGACAGCACGCGCTCACGGGGAAAATACAAAGAAATCAACGATAACAAAATGTCGCCATAATACAGTCAACGCCACAAACGCGTGCAGGGCCACGCTCTTTCACGCGCTTCTCAACAAAAAATAAAAATAAACGTGTGAGACAAAATGGCGAGATGCCACCACCCTAAGCAAAGCGCACATGAAGGCACCCTAGGTCGCTACAGCTCCCAGAGAGTGAACGGGAGGCGCCTCGGTCGGGTACTAGTCAGCGCGGATGGGGAGCGAAAATGGCAACTTTACGAAGACCAAACCACCAAACAATTTGGCACGAGCGCCGTTTTAAAGTTCGGCAGAGCACTCAGAGGTTTGAGCTCAAGATTGTATCTGATGAGTACAACCCCTGGGCGTCTCAGATTGCCGAAAATGCCGCATAAGGTGGTGCTACTCGTCAAACCAAACTAAATTGTGCATGGAGCTCGCTTGCCCCTTTGCATTTAATTGCACTATAATTATAAATTGTGCAGTCGGCTTTGCCATAATAGAGCTATTCTTTACTTAGTGCTCACCAAAATATGTTCGCCACAAAGGTAAGTTTCTGAGGATTTGTCATCGTTCACTTGAAATGTCTTGACATGCCGTTTAGACGTTGATATTGTTTTAATGTCTTGTAACCACCTTGATAATTAAAAATATGTTATTTTGGCAACAAATGAATTTTTATATTGATCGGGATAATGTATTTCTAGCTACGCACTATCTATAGATCACACACAGTACTACGGGTTTCTGAAACGCCTCACCTCATCATATAACCTTTACTTTCCCACGTTTACAAGCATGGCAAAGACGATCAGATCTCCGGTGATTTGGCCATTTGCACAGAAGTGGTGACAATTTGTGGAGTACGGCCTATGGGCGCTGCCATCTTGTTGCTCATCGGTGTATGGATCGAATGAAAGTGAACCATTCATTGGTTTCCAGACTGGTTTCGATGTGTGCTTTGCCGCCGACTTTAGCGGAACTACTTTTCCAAGTAGCGCTGCTTCTGGTCGTGAAGACTGTCTCTTGGACTGGTATGCTCTCTGATGCCAACCCGAAATAAGCAATTGTCTTTGGTGCTTCAAATCATTCCCCTGTTTTTTTGTTTATTTTACTTCTGTGCAAGGGAACGATGATGTTTATGTAACATCATCGTTCCCTCGAGTGATATTATCCATTTTAGTTGCGACCACTTGCTTCATACTTAATAAATAATAAAATTATCAAATTCCTTTACTCAAACTACTTACTTTTTATTGCAATTCATGTTAAAGGTCATCTAAAAAGAAATAAAGGGACACTGACACCCCTCAAAACATTTTTTGTATATTTTGCCAGGCGATACAATATGGTGTCAGAAGTCTACGCAATCAATATTTTAGTACATATTTTATATTTTTAATGAATTAAAGAAAAAACGAAACTGCTTGAAACCGTAACCGAAACTGAACTGGGGTAGAAGGATTGTAGAGAAGGTGGGATTTGGTCGAGAGTCACGTAAGCCCACCCAACCGCATTTTTTTTTCCTTCTTTTTTTTCTCTTTTTTTTTTTTTTTTAGTGTGAAGCAGGCAAAAATTGCTCGCCTCGCACTTCGCAGAAAAAGAACGAAAACGACAAGCAGTGCGTCTTGACGTTTCCTAGTTTCTCAAGCTCTTACCCATTCGGGTTCGTAAGATCGACGAGCCCCGTCTTCGGCCAGGCGAAGGGGCGAAGGCTCGGCGACGTCTTCGTGCGAATCAGCTTGGTGGTCGGGCGTGCCGTACGGATCCTAATAGTTTCGATCTGTAAACGATCTCCCTTCCAATCCTAGGTAGATTCGCCGGTACAACGAACAATTCTGAAGTAGAGGTCTCACGGCCGTCGACCGCCGCCATCGCTCAGCTCGCTTCGTTCAGCCGTCCAACCGCAACTCCCGCGACCACAGCGATACAACGCCATGTTGCAAATTACGCAGAGAATGCACAGTGTGCTTCCGTTTCTCGGTGCAAGTTTCTTTCTTTTTTTTTTTTGTTCAATCAATGAATATGCAGTTTTTAGAGCGCAGCTCTTAGGCGCCCGTTTCCGGCTTGAGCGGCGTCGCCGTCGCCATCGGCGTAACCGCGCGTTCCATTATGGGACCTTTCCCATAATGACGTCACACGTGTCGTTGCGTGTGACGTCACGGGGGTCACACGTGTCGCTACCCGTGACGTAACGGGTGTCACGAGCGACGTCCCGAGGGTCACGAGTGACGTCATGAAGGTCACAAGGATGGTCACGACCTTCACGAGTGACGGCACGAGGGTTTCTAGGGTCACAAGTAACGTCACGACTGGCGTCGCGAGGGTCACAAGTGACGTCATGAAGGTCACTCGTGAAGGTCACATTGATGGTCACAACCTTCACAAGGCCTTCAAGAGTGACGTCACGAGGGTCACTACGAGGTTCACGAGGGTCACGAGTAACGTCACGAGCGACTTCGCGAGGGTCACGAGTGACGTCATGAAGGTCACTCGTGAAGGTCACGACGATGGTCACGACCTTCACGAGGCCTTCACGAGTGACGTCACGACGGTCACGAGTAACGTCACGTGTGACGTTCCGAGGGTCACGAGTGACGTCACGAGGGGGGAGGGAGGCAGAGAGGAGGGGAGGAGAATAAGAGGAGGAAGGAGGAGGGGAGGGGAAGGAGGAGCGGGAGGAGGAGAAGGAGAGGAGAAGGAAAGAGGAGGAGGGGCACACACTCCTCTTCGTATCCTCCCCTCCTCCTCCTCAAGAGCTGCGCTCTAATTCGGCATTACTGGGAATTTTATACGTCTTTCAATTTTTAAGTCACAAAAATAAGCATCATATCTTTTTTTTAATATTGAGTGTGTGCTTTAGATGACCCACGACTTTGATTATATTTTGTGTGTGTTTTAAACCATAGAAAACAGCACGTGACAACGGAGAAGAGAGTGAGCGCGACTCAAACCGGCCAGTTCTCGATCGGCGGTTTTCGGGCAGAAAGAAAACGAGTTTCCAGCTGCAAATTTTGTTCTGGGTAGTTTGGCTTTGCATGTGTCATGTACAAATAAAAACCTTAACGAGCATAAATTCCCTGTCAGTGTCACTTTAAACGCATGAAAGACATAATTTGTCATGTTGTGTTAACTTACGTCATTATAATATATATCGCCCCATTGTCCACACCGGCTGCCTATTTCACGGTTTAATGTGTGAAAGGTTCACGTGTTATGAAGTGCTAACAGTTAGGAGTCTACGTGTTATTTTGTTCAATAATATTTTCACCCTTCTTTTACAATTACAGCTGGAGATAGACGCTCCATGATATATTTTATCTCGTGTATCACTCAAACAAAATTGAATTCGATAAAGATCATTTTTGTTTGGGTGCACTCAGAAATACAATTAACTCTCAAGAGAAAAAAGCACAGTACATATTTTATTACTGGAATGATTCACAAAGGTAAGTGCTTCTGTTTATTAGCAACGTTTTACACAATTTACAGAAAATTTCTCAAGAGCAATGCGAAAGTTTTAATCCGTTTTTAGCTATATGCGCAGATGAACCCTTCTCCTGCTATAATTATTTTGCTGCATCTTTCTAGTTTTTATTATGAAATCTGCGATTAAAATTTGTATCAAAAATATCTGCTGGGCTAATTGGGTACCATATCAAGAGCGTAATAGCGCGACAAACGCGCAATTACTCTCTATTATTTGAGCCGATAAACTGTTAAGATTATGCAGTAATGCATCAAATCAATAAGCGAAATGCATCTGTGCGGTCATTTATAAAATCCCGCTCCCGCGTGGAAAAGTGTGTTGGGCCAGTCTGAAAGACAACATGACCGGTGTGTGAAGATCAGACTAAGAGAACACTGCCTCTTGCCCAAGTCATTCAAGGCAGGATATCTTGCTATACAATTCGGTCGACTTTAAACGCACACCAGTAATCCCTAAATTTTAGTACCGAAAGGGCGTCATATCCAAAGTCAGGGAGAGGTCGTCTGAAACCGTCATGGCCAAAGAGGGACACATAGTTAAGTATCAGTGCGCCCTCGGTAGCATCATTGACTAAGAAAATGTACTATATGAACTGTAGTTTCTAATGCTGAGTAAATATAAAACTTATTTTTCTAGATAACAGAAAGTGTAAAACAGAGAGAGGACGAAACACAGACGAGTGAATTTCTGTTTTAATTTTTTTAGTGTTTTATGCTTGAAACTTTTGTTAAATCGAGTCCAAGTTTTTGAAACTCCAAATTTACATCGTTTCTGTTTCCTCTCCTTTATATTTATTCTCACCGTACTTTTCAAAAGCGCTTTATTTTTGTAATCTTTATTTTGATTCAGTGATCACGAAATTATAGACCCTGCCTTAGCATTGAAATGTCACTGGCGTGATAGCACTTGCCCTGTTCACATCCTTTACTCCTCCTTGTCCGTCGCGTTGTTTGCCTTTTTGATATCATATATATATTCGCACTCTTCCAGAGTAACAGGATTTGTAAATGTGGAAGCTCGAAAGAGCGACAAAGCATATGAAAAGGAAAATTATTTTCTTGTGGGTAAGAATATACATAATTAGTAAACTAATGCAAGCAACCTTCAGTTAGGAAACTAGTGCTTTGCTCACACGTAAACCATAAATATTTATTACCAATCCCAATTCCAACATCGACGACGTCCAGATATCTTCACACAGGACGCTTTAGGGAGTATCAAATGTGGAACTCAGAAAGTAACAAAGAGATCTTTGCTTGCCTATACTATGTTGAAAAAAAAAAACTTTTCACATCGTTCAATTTGCACATGTTTTGCCGCATTTTTACTTCTGTTCAGAAAGCAGGGGTGACAAGGAGTCTTACTCACCACAGTATTACAATATTGCAAGCATATTGGAACTTTTTCATAGGCATTGTAATACGGTTATATATTCACAGCACATAAATTATAAGAAATATATATTACGTGTCATAATTGCTGCGAAGTGTTGTTGGGGGCGCGATGTGCGAGCACTTGACTTATTATAGTCGATATTTTCACAAATCGTGGAGAAATATGCGTGGTATACGCACTTGGCTTCCTCGCTCTAAATACTGAATTATTCCCAAACTTTCTGTGACTGGTGAATTTTTTTACAAACATATATATTAATCGATATAAATAATTTTTTTATCGTTTTTGCATCAGGTGCAGTCTGAAATATATTTTAAAAAAATATTGTATTCTAGAGACTGTTGATCGTGAGAGACAGTATGGTACAGCAACAAGAGCTTGTCACATGACCGGAGACGATGCATGCGGGAATATATCAAGCTGTTCTTACCCAGAAGAAGCCTTGGCATTTTCTTAAAATCGCAATGCGCTACTTATTGCGAAAAGTGTTGGCCCTCATGAGGAATGTTTAGACACGTATTTGTTACCTTCTTTCACCTGTCCCATTTTAAGTTACGAAAGTTGTTGTTACAGGATGAGCTCATACTTTTACTTTCCGCGCAAGAAAAAGTTTAATTTAAAAATCCTTACGTTTAAACTCGGAGCTTGGCAGGACAAATATATTTTTTATCAATCTGAAATGTTATTAAAAATTATTGAAGGACTTGGCAATAAGCATTTTAATTAACTCGAGCAAATTCACATCATTCGAAGAATATCACGAGTATATTCCCAAATGACTGTAAGTGTGTTTCGCGGCCAGTAAAAAAAAAACACAATAATTATTTATGTCAGTATCACTGAACCTTGCCCATGTCCCTTAAAAGGGCATTTCAAATCGATTTAGGAGTGTAAATATTCAATTAGTACTGTAATACTCATTCGTAGATTAATACATATTAAAATGCCATATTTTTATGCATATTACGATGTAGAAACTTGCAACGAATTGAATATTTTTTAAGACATTGATATCATATAATGTATTTATGGAATGTAAACGAGTCCTACACATTTTCATTGCAGATGATTCAACGGAAGCACGTCCTGCTAAACAATCAAGTAAGCCCTGTCTTTGAAAGAATAATTTATAGTGTCATGTTATGCGACATTGGATACCCAGCGGCACAATAGTTTGGGCTCAAATCTCTTCGTTTGAGTTTTGCGAACTTGTGGCTCTAGCCCGAAAACGCTAAGGTAGGTCAAAATTTCACCTCCTGTGGCCAGAGTATGAGTATCTTGACCCTAATGCGCCAAAGCATTGTGCCAAAGTTATGCTTCACTGCTGGTTGTTTGGCTGTCATCTGGCATCTTTGGGCCTAAATCACCAAAAAAGTGCCATGTTGAGGCTTCACTTCGGGTTGATTTGGTTTTTGTGCCGCAACTTTGGGCCAAAATTGTCAAACAAGTGCCAAATCTAGGTTTCACTGTTGGTTATTCAGTTTATACTTGGCATCTTTCGCTGAATTCTGGCACTTTGTGAATTATGCGGCGGGCCAGAGAAAAGCCAAAGGAACGCCAAAGAAAAGTACGCTGGCACTAACACCTTGGAGCAAAACCGTATCTGATCCAAGTCAGGACACTAGGATTGTCAAGCTTGGACCAAGTCAGGCGTTTCACTGGTGTGCAACCTGTGTAAAACGTAGAGATTCATTATTTTATGTAGAAAGAACTCTCTCAAAATATTCAGTAGTTCAAATTTAGCATTTACAACAAAGCTATAGGCATTACATAGTTCATAAAAAACACAATAATAAAGAGTAATGTTTATATTTTCATTCTACAACCTTGTTCACATTCCTCTTTCTTACAAATCGGTACTCAAAATAAGCCAAAAAATCTGATATTTTTTCTATAATAAAAAGCTATAAGATTCGTTTAAAAAGTAGCCCTTGCAGGTCCAAGGTAGGAACCATGAGCAATCAAATATTCCTCTACAAAATGCTATAGAGATAAAATATTTGAAAACAAATGGAAATGAAAACTATCTAATGATTTCATTCATTTAACCTTATTAGCCAAGGTGTGGTAGCGAGGTCATGAATGCGGCGTGAGTGCAATAATTCATCTTTGAAATATTTGTATGTTTGGTGTAATATGGTATTCTATCTGTCGTACTAACATGGCATAATAATTGTTGGATTTACAAAATATTCTGATTCAGCTATTCAGTGGCAAATTTACGCTATACCAGGCTGAATTAGTAGAGCCGAGATAGCTCCAGATATTTCGCCTCGAATTGACAACATCACTATCGGTTCAGTTATTGAACGGTTGAGCAATTGCGAGTCGATCCGGCGACCGAGACATATACCTAGAAAAGGTGGTCGCAGTAAAAGTATGTAGTACTCTAAGGTTTCTTATAATTAGAAACTTTCGGCGCTTTGTTTCCACTTAGTGCCAGTATAAAGATCTCCGGGCAGCCTAAGTTCGCCATTGAATATTGTGGTGCAGAATTTTGGATTCCAGTATTTAACACCACCAGCAATGGGCAACCAATATGAAATGTACCAGCTAATTCGAAAACATAGGGGCAAAGTAGCGAAGGTAGGGTGATTCGTTTTCTGATTATGACGTCACATTTTTGCCTTCACGTCTCATAATGATTAGCATTATCAGAAGGAAACGACGCTTTTTATGAACACTTATTTTAATTATTTTCAGCTATATAAACGCACGCTATTTAGGAAACATATTCTATGACCCTTGTCAGTTGCTCGTCTGATACATATTATTGCCATTTTTTTCAATCAGTTAAAAGCTAATTGAATTGCGTTTTTACCTTTATTCACACAGGTGGAAAAAGGGAAGAAAAGATTTACCAGTTGCTTTTCACCGACTACAAATCATGTGCTGTTCTGAAATCTGCATACTTGGGTATTTCATAATACAACATTTAGAACACTAAACAAAATATCCTTTAACAAGAGTACAAAAGTTTACTTAAAGGACATAGACTCTGTTGATACACCTAGAGGCTAAATTCTTACAAACTTATCAGTGGTATTTTAATAAGCATGTACGGTTTAAGAACTACTGTACTTCAGTGCATAAAAAACTTGCATCATTTTCATCTTCCTTTTGTACGTACGTACATATCAGCGTGTATGAAATATGAATAATCTGAACTACTAATAGGGTGGTCCAAGTCACCAGGCTCCATCTAAAAGGGACCGTAAAAATCGACGCCTGCACGTAGCAATCTAAACTTTTCGTCAAAGGTGTATTTCACAGGTCGGTTTTTTCTTGTAAAATTACAAAGCGCAGTTCGTTTTCTATAAAAAATAAGGCCAAGAAACTTGCGAAGGTCTACGGCGGGCAGCGACGCAGACGACAGGGGTTCAGTGGCGGGGTGTGTTTGGCGTTCGTACTGATAGATGGCGTCAGGAAAAGCGTCCGAAGGTGCAACTACAGTGGCTTAAAGGGGGTAGTGTGGTTATCGCGTAGCCTCCACCATGCATCGGCAACGGCCGCTCCTTAGAAGACGGTATAGGTGGCGCTTCGATCCGCAGCTCCGTTGGGTGCCTCAATCGGCCGGCAGATAGAGGCACCCTAACACGCTTCACAACTAATATAAATATTTCAAAAACAATTATTTGTTTCCAGTGAACTTACAACGACATGATTTGTGTTTGAAGGAGAATAAAACTGTGAAACTAGCAGACGACAGTGTAGTCGACAGCTGCGAATCGGCCGGAGCTGGCCGGAGCCAAGCTGACCAAGCGGCCAAGCCGGAGCCATAGCCGGAACGACGGTGCTGCAAGCGCCAGCGCCCACCCGCGGCCGTCTTCCAATGCTGTGCCGCTTCTCCGGTTTCGTTCGTTACACTACCCCCTTTAAGCCACTGTAGTGCAGCCGACCAGCGAAAGATAGCAGACGACACGCAGACAAAATCCGTTGGCAGCAAAAGCGCCGCCCTTATGCAGACGCGTTTTTTTTTACTTGACGTTTTGCTTCGATTGTCTGCATTTATTTTTTAACCGAAGGTACTATCGGGGAAAAATGAAATGCGAACGGAGGAGCGCGTGGCTCGCGGTACAGGCTGCGCCGCCTGGAAGTGAACCTAGGGGCGAGGGTGCGTGACCTACTTCGATGTGTTCACGCCCCTCGATTGGCGCTCCCCCAGCTTCGGCAGTGCGCCTCTCAGTGCGCTGAAAGCTGTCACCGCTATCTTTGCCTGCTCGGCCGGTGCGGTGAGCTTCTTTGCGCCGCACGCGCTGAGCCAGCAAAGATAGCGGTGATAGCTCTCAGCGCACCAAGAGGCGCACTGCTGAAGCTTGGGGAGCGCAGAGGGAGGGGCGTGAACACGTCGGAGTAGGCCACGCACCCTCGCTCCTAGGCTCACTTCCAGGCGGCGCTGCCTGTACCGCGATCCAAGCGCTCCTCTGTTCGCATTTCATTTTTCCCCGATAGTACATTTCAAAAAGATTATGTTCATTTTAATAAACCACGGTGGTGGCGAGCCGTCGCTATACGGAGGTAGCGCCATCTATCAATACGAACGCCAAACACACCCCGCTACTGGACCCCTGTCGTATGCGTCGCTGCACGCCGTAGACCCTGGCAAGTTTCTTGGCCTTATTTTCTTACAGAAAGAAAACTACACTTCGAAATTTTACAAAAAGAAAAGACCTGTGAAATACACCTTTGACGAAAAGTTTAGATTGCTACGTGCAGGCGTCGATTTTTACGGTCCATTTTACATCGAGCCTGGTGACTTGTACCACCCTATACATCAACTTGTATTATAATTAGGTTATATTTATGATATTTAAGAGAACTAGCCTATGTCTCCCGAGCAATGCACCCAAGGCAGAGCGAACTTCGAAAAGACATTGAATAATCAAGGTCAAAACAAATTTAAAACATCAATGTTGTGTCGATTTTTCTAAATACAAATTTAGCGTGTTTGAAAAACACGCGTCGCGACTAGAAAGGTCGTTTTGATATCCAATGTAACTGGCACGCAAAGCAACTTTGCATGGGGGTTTTAAGATATGCTCGGAGTTGCAAGAAAGTTACGGTTGTCTATACTAAGCTAAGAGCAATTGAGTGCGCGCTCAAAACATAACAAATTATCGGTATCAGTCGTATACGGTCAGTGTTAATATTTCCTAACAAAGTGTATTCCAAAGGATTAAGCCTAGATTTTTCTTTATTCCAAAAACTGTTTTATTGTATCCCAAGTTGTTGAATGTTATACTGAGGCTTCACATTTTCCAAATGTACTCTGCCATTCTAGCGTAGCACTCTGCCATTGTCAAAGGTTCCATGAACGCAGTTCTATAAAAATGAAGGCTTACGTGGTCTATCTTAGGCGGTGACGGAGGTTAGCGAGCTTAAAGTGTACCGAAGCATTGCAAGTCGTAATAAAAGCTAGAGTGACTTCATGTGAACTCCGCTTGTGATGGAAAAAATATTTTGTTACAACATTGTCTCAGCCCTGGTTACTTTCGCCAATTTCGCCGGCCACGACCAATCACCACGATAATTCCTATCAGGGCTAGAAAGTACCGGATGTACTGTAACTTCCGTTGAACAACTACAAGTCGCTGATCAGACAAAGCTGTAGCCGACATAATATTCTCAACACAAAAGCTGGTTAAGTGTGCGATATATTTAGAAGGAATACGCTTGCTTTGGTAAGGGCAGCTTGCAATAAAGAAAGCTAAAACAAAATCGAAGCTTAGGCGTCAGAAATTACAATTTTGACTTGTCAATAATACTCGCGTTTTATTAGAAGCAACTATTCTTCTGGCTTGCCCCAACACAATCCAAAACGGTGGAGTAAACAAAGCGCAAAGTACAACAACAGCCACACCCACAGCCGGCGAACCGCCCCGCGTAAGATGGCCCTATGAAAACGGAAGTGGCCGCACAATTTTGCCGGAGTCTGTAGACTGACACTGACTCTATTTTTTTTCCATTTTTGGGGATATGCTTAGGAAACAAGTATGTAATGGGAAGGATATGGGGCAGGGAAACAGACAGTTGGCACCACCCTAAGCGGAGTTTACATAAAAGTGTCCTAATAAACACATTTCATCGATTGAACTAGGAGAAGATGAAATCATGGTAGGAAACAAGTTGAAAAAAAAATCAGAACACTCTGCTACCGCTAATTTTAATTTCACAAACACGCAGCAGTAGAAGACGAGAGCGCGCGCGGGTTAATGAAGTATTCAAACAAACTAAGCCCAGTTGAAAATTTAATCACAGCATGTGTACGTCTCATACCATGTTATTTTCCTGGTAAAAAAAGGCGCACAACAAATAATCAAGAAAAACATTGCAGATAATTTTAGATTATTTCAACCATGCCGAGTGTTTCAAATAATCTCAAAAAGTTGGAATAACCTACCAATGCCAGTTTACTTACAATAGCGCTTTCCTTTCGGCTATGTTCCAGGAGTTCAAGTATGGGTAACGCATACCTACTTGAAAACTCACAATGATGTGCCATATGGATGTTCCTTGGCTTATGATTTGATAGCCGACCAAAACAAAACCATCGCGTATGACTGGAAAAAATGTGGTGTTTTTAAGCATACCGAGCTATAGAAAATAAAACGTATGGTCTTCCTACATGCGTGCGATTGAGTCTTCACTACGTAGAGATTTTTCAGTTATAGATTATCTTCAAACAGACACCCTATTTTAGGGGTGTTTGAGTTATTACGGGTGTGAACATAAGAAACGCTTTTAATATACTAAGCCTTCTTCATTCTTAGCATACAGACAATTCGCCCCTTTCACGTACTATCGTGTCAAAAGCAGTTTTAACACAGACTATACTGTGTATTTCTTCGCGGTAATCTTGTACAGATGAACGTGCTATGTAATTTAAGCCTCAACTGCGTGAACATTGCCCCGCGTAGCGTCTATCAAAGACACTCATACGAAAGCTAGTGCTTCAGCGAAACAGGAAAGCAAAGTTCACGTCCCTTTGCGATTGCGAACCCCAGTTTCAGCCCTGCAACTCGTATTTCGCTACTCTGCTTTTCCCGAAACACCCGCTTATTTTCTTCTTTTCATATCCTCCAGCTAACCCTTTCACTATTTTTGCAAGCATGCTCGCTAACCACCTTATAGGTATAGGCCTCACAGAGGACCGTTTTATTGCGTTTGAAAGGAAGTCAAGACTTACGTCTGTCCCTCCCACACGTCATCACAAGTGGGCCCACGCGGCACCTCTGCAGCTTGCGTCAGCGATGCCTCCAGCGCGTCTTGCAGCGTCTCACAACAAGTGAGACGCCAGCACACTGCGTCGCCGAGACAGACGCATCTGCCGCTTTGCGGCGACTCTCATCGAGATTCAATATGCTTGACGCATGGGGAAACTCGGGGTTCCACTAACGTTGACGTCATGCGCTGGCCTTGTTTTCGAAGTGGCATTGGTCTGGCTACCTACGTCGAGCGAAGACCGCGAGTCCTCAGGACATCCGTGCTTCACACGATGCTTGGCAACCATTCAAGGAGTGTAGATGCTTTTACATCCAAGTAGATGTAAAAGCATCAAGGAGGTCGACCTCATACGGATGACACATGCCCTCACCCTCAGCCGCATCACGTACCTCAAGCTCACAAAGAAGGACAAGGCGCAAATAAATATTATCATCAGGGAAGCCAACTAGTTGAAGCTGGGGCTTCTCATATACATGTCGACCAGGCACGAAGCCAGGATTTCGTTTCAAGAGGGGGGGGGGGGGGGGTGGGCGCTCATGTCAAAATGCTGTATGAGGGGGAGGGGAGAGAGGAGGTCCCAGCAAAATGGAAGATTTCGGGGGGGGGGCGGCCTCATGCCCCCCACCCCCCTGGCTACGTGCCTGAAGTCGACTAAGAGACTGCTTAGTCTAGGGGTCCAAAAGACGACATGGAAAATGCAGAAGCGCACACCAAAAAACACCGTATACGACTCTTGACCACCTCAACAGGCAAACACATGCTGAGAACCCTCGGCTTCGCTATCCCGAGAGAGATGTAGGAAACGACGCAGATTCCGGAGGAAATCCGCGAGAAGATCCAGGTTAACCCTATCTCTGGCAACATGAACCCGACACTACATGCAGGTAGGCTGGCGGCGAGAGCCCAATTCCTCGCAAAAGAATACCGCGGGAAGAAGTACGCCAGATACAGAGAGGCAGCAACGCACCCCACCGGAACCATAGCGGCGGCATGCGTCGTCAGACCGTGCGGCGGACCTCTGGTCATTGCCTTGCTATGTACGAATCTCCCGGTCGTGGCGGAGGAGCTGGACATCGCACTAGCTCTCACCGCCGCCACCCCAGAATCACCGCCGCTCCTGACAGACTCTCAGGCATGCCTACGACGCTACCTCGCCGGAAGAATCTCACCTCAAGCGCTCCACGTACTCGGAACTGTTGTACTCAACCTCCCAAGGGCTACCCTCGACTAGACGCCCGGTCACGGCAACGTGGAGGAAACTCGGCGTGTGCACGCTGCGGCTCGAGCTGGTATCCTCCGAGCCACCCCTCCTCCACGGCCAACGGCGGCCTTTCAACGAGTCGAGTCCTTGTCTCACAAGAAGAAGAGGAGGCACAGCTCCTTGCCACGCCCGTACACCCCACGGACCTTCTAGGCTTTAGCATTCTACGGGGAATACAGAAGAGAGTACCCACCGCCGCACAAGACGCTGACCCGACAGGAGACCACAGCTTGGCGACAACTTTAGACAAACACATACACACACTTAGCTTTATTGCACAAGCTCCTTCCTCAACAATACCCAGCCGAATGTCCCTTTGGTGGAGTTCACCCATCCCTCTACCGCGTTACGTGAGTCTGTTCCTTGAACCCCTTCCTTTCCCCCTCCACACCTCCCTCCGAACCCGAGGCCTGGGAAGTTTCGCTGCGCAGCTCCTCCCCCAACGACCAGCTCGCCCTGATCCGGAGGGCAAGAGCTGCAACAGAAAGCACTGGAGCCCTGGACTGAGGGCTTCACCACGACCTTTGCACTTTCCTAAAGTAGCTTAATAAAGTTTGTACCACCACCACCGTCGTCTTTCGGCTGAACGCGCGCGCTCGAGGCATCTGTCGCTCGAGACGCCGAAGAGTTGTCGAGGCTAGGAAGCTCGCGCTGGCGGCAGGGCGGCTGCAGCTTGTCTTTTCTGTTTTCTCCTTGTTAGTGACTACAGTTTTCAATAACAACGTCAATTGGCGACTTGAGCGATCGAAAGCGTCGCTGTGGTCGGCCCACTGCAATTGGCCGAGTGCTGACTATGACGTCAGCAAAGGATTTCTCATCGACGCAAATAAGAGGAATGTAGGAACTTCAATTTTGACGGTGTAGGCAGTGTTGCTTTGAGAGCGCTATGATTTGAGGTTTTCACCATGCTCATTACAAACAGCATCGAACTTGTTGTTCACAAAGTAATGACGTCACGAAAGGTAACCAAACGTGGGCGCCACCGAAACATCTCGCCGCTAATAGCACCCCAAGGAACATCGATATTTTATAAGTGTGTCGTGAAAATTTCCCTGATGATGACTCTTGCAGAAGGCAGGACAGGCACGACGACATGAGGCGCGGGGGTTCGATGCGCATGCACGGTCGTGCGTCCCCCGGGCCTCTCGGAAGCGTCGGCGCACGCGCGCGCACACTGCATCGTCGTTTGTCATGACATAGCCTTCTATATACTGGCAAAGCCTGGCAGATCGCCACGAGAAGTGGCAGCCGAAATGGAAAATGTGGAGCGGCAGACAACAGATGAGAGTAGAGCCACATGACTGGCGCCCCGCTGAGGCAAGACGCCCAAACACACTTCTCCCGAGCGAACAAGTGTGTTTTGGGTCCTCGCTGCTGCAAAAGCTGTGCGCTGCCGTCCAGGTTCCCCGAGAAATGGCTCTTTGATACTCTGTGCTACCAGATCCTCGCGCTCCGAATCTGCGACCGGGCACTCTATGGCTCCGTCGTCGAACTGCCAAGCTTTGTCAGCATAGAGGAGGCTATGGTCATGTCGCCTGATGTTGGTCGGCCGCTTTAAAGCAGTGCTGGAGTTATAATAAGAACAGAGTTATGCATGCTCAAGTAGCACACATAATATCGGAGGGTTCGAGAAGCTTTCTGCTGGTCAGATTTCAGTGTATGATCTACATTTTGCGAACGATACGAAAAATATGTTCCTCCCAAATCAAACACTCCGCAAGAGACGATTTTAGGCAACTTGTGCAGTCAAATTTGGCGCATTTGGCTCCTTCACCACCGATAAAGAGTTGGCAGCATAAGTGAAAGGGAGGCAAAACTCGGGATATGTAATTTAATTACTCTACCGCAATCAGCCACCAGGACGGGCTTCAGGGCGTGAGAAGACTATGGAGTGTGTGCCCAATGCGAAGAGCAAGTCGTCTGCTTCTTGCACAGGGGTTACGGTGACGTCAGAACGATGCCGAATTCTGATTGGCTTTCATTGGAAGGATAATGAATGGGTAGAGCTAAATGATCGATGCCTTAAATTCTACCCACTTTTTTTTTCAATCAGCCAGTAAAAGCAAGGCGTTCTGACATCATCGCAACCCCTATGCAAGAAGCAGGGGAACTTGCGTTCGCATTGCCCAGCAATTTTACAAGTGTTTCGGAAGCACCTGCCCTCTGGCACCTTAGGCCAGTGGGAGAACAAACTCTCCACATTAACTACACTCATGGGTCGTTGCAGCGGCTAGCTCTTCAGCGGTTAGATTTGGTACATAACTGTGAAAGAATTATGCTTTGTTTGTTTCGCAAAAAGAGTTTTATAAGCCGATATACATTATGCTAAAAAAAAACGATACAGACTTGACTTATACCCCTCTCAGATGGGCTAGTTTAGTGTCACTATTAGAGAGTGCACTTCAACCCGTAGAAACACACTCCATGTGTGTTGGTGCTACACGGAAAAACTTAGTGTCACTCCAAAATGATGGCAATAACGATGGGTAAGTCATGGGCACGCAACATATTACAGTGCATACGCATTTTTTTATAAATATCTTCGTAGTCTTATCAGAAACACGTTACCACACATTGTTGCGCTAAGTCGCGAGCTTTAATTCAAATTCAAATCCAATTAGATCATTACGATCAGCCATTACAAGCCAGTGAGACACAAAAGAAATTTGAATTCATCTCACGAGAAGTTTGATTAGAAGCAAATAGTTGCTTGGGTGTGTATATATACGTTTGTTTTTCCGAATAAAAATTCAGATGAAAGTAGCGCATCGTTTCGTCTATTCCTTCTGTTGTCCTTGTTTTCTGGCGCTTTTCGAATCTAAGATGTAGCAACTTGCCCAACTCCAGATTCTTCTACAATTTATAGCCCGTCTGACAGGGGTATTAACGATATCAACAATTTACTAAGACGTTTCATCTCCCATGCAGGAGACATCATCAGTCCGTGCTCAAGGTCATCTAAAGTACCTTTATAAAAAATTAATTCTAAAATTGGCAGCGACCTTTGTCATAAAATTCCTAATTTGAACACCCTGGGAGAAACATCCCCTACGGTTCTGTAGAAGGTGTTGCTAGGAGGGGGAAAAGAAGGGGAGAAAAAACGAGTGAAGGGAGGAGAGGGATTGGCAGAGAAAATAAGGGAGAGGGGAAGAGAGGGATGGAGTGATGGAACTGATGTGTCACCTGGCGTATATTTTCCCGCTATATTTAGCGGGCAAACTGAATGGCTGTATAGGTCACGTGTCTTCAATTTCCAAAAGGTGTAAGGTAACGTGACGTCACCGGACGTGGCTTTCCCCGCTAAATTTAGCGGAAAATGCACGGACGGGCGTACGGGCGGACGGATGGATGGTAGGAACAACATTTTGGGATTGGAGATAGCGTTAAAAGGCATTTCGTGTTTTAAAGTCTGCGAATATACCCAATTTTAGATCACGTGCGCCCTGATCACTTTCAGAATAATATATATTACCATAAAAATGCAAATTCAATTTCACACATAATTCAGGAGGAAACTAACGTGACGTGAGTCACGTGACGTAACGGCTTCGCGTGATGGCATGATATCGCGTGATGTTAATTTTCCGAGAAGTATAGCGAAATTTAGACAGAAGACACCGCTGAATTTAACGGCGTAATGCACAGACGGTCAGATGAGTGGACGCGTTCCTGGAAGTAGGAGGTTTTGTTATAAAGCATTCAGTGCTTTAAAAGCAGACGCACCACTAACAGGAAATAAAATTTGTGAACAAAAAGCTAGGGAACAAATTTAACGCAGCAATTAGAAACGCTTATTTATATTCTTTTGGCACGTGCTATCAGCGAGGCAGCGATTTTTTCTTCAGCAGACACAAACGGCAACTAAAGGGCACAGCTCTCAAGGAAAGACTGCGCGATTCTCGAACCCGCAACAACAGACTGAACTCGCTCAATCTAAAAAAAAAAAAAAGCGAGTATTGAACTCAAGCTTAGCGTCATCACTCTAACGAAATCAAAATAAAGCTCTACAAAACGGAAAAAAAGAAGATAAAAAAACTCACGACGTTCAGTTAAAGTCACTTGCTTGTAAAACACAATGTTAGTCTTGATCTCCGATTCTTTGCCTCTAAGAAAAAGCAGGGATGGAGATTTACGTTGTTGTGCGTACCTTTGTACTTGTGTTTTTTCTGGTGGTAGAAGTAGCAGGACAATGTCGGAAAGAACTATTTTCTCAACGTTTAGGGAGATATCCAGACGCCTGGAAGGTGAGTACGATTGATAATCAAATATTTTTGTCGTCTTTATGGTATTTAATAATGTAATAATTTTTCACATCAAGTTTAGTCAAAGCGGAACTGATAAGTGCCTACGAGTTTCCAGAGTTATCTTATTTTATCTGTTGCTTAGAACCAGGAGCAAGTTTCTTATTTATCCGAAAATGCGGTTTAACAAGCCAATGCAATACGCCTCTTGAGGAACAGACGGAACTAATATAAAATTGTCATAAAGATAACTATGATTTGGCAACTAATTGTATTACAAAGAAAACTTTTTTTACGGAATTACATACATTGGAATCCTATGCCAGATATTCAAAAGAGCCTTCGAAGTGAAAGTTCAGGGGCTTCAATTGTGACTACACAGCATGTACACTAACGATTTGAAATTATTTCAGATGGTTCAAGATATCGCGCTGCCATTTGCAAAGGATGTGCTGCTAGGTGGCGAATGCTTGGAGTAAAAATGTCAACCAATGAACTTGCCTCGTTCAAAATAGAAGAAAAAAACTTTTTCGGGCAGCGGTGGCATTCGCAGATGCTGTCATGACCGTGCCAGCCTAGTTTTATGTGCTGCCGACAAACATCAAAGAGTGGAGAGTGCGCTGGACGCCGCCGCCGAGCTTAGCGTACGATCTTTCGAAAGTCCTCACTATGCCGGCGCACGTCTCTCCAATGTACAAATCCGAAAGTGCGATAATTTATTAACGCTTACAAACAAACCGAATAGGAAGACGGGAATGAACGGTCGAGGCGCCGCGTACTTTATAATATTCACGTGCGTCACGCTGCGCCATCTTTCGGCAGCACATACAACTATACTCCGTTTCACGATAACTTGGCGAACTGTCTGGGCTGCTGCCCGCGCGACCCAAAAGAGCGCAAAAGCAAGGCACGTAATAACTCTTCATGGTCGAGCCCACTGGGTTTTTGTTACCGAAACAGGAGCAGAGCCGTCCGTGACAAAGGTAGTTCTGAGCTTCTTTTTATTTTAACGGCAATTTAACTGGGGCGATTCCACATATAACGAAAAGATATGAAGAATAAAGAATAAATAATGGCAAATTTATAGTTTCAATTATATTTGAACCACAAAAGTGACGCCACATCTGTATCCGCTCGATTTGTTTCGCCTTGTAGCGCCGTGGCCGTTGGCAATCGCCGGCGATCGCAGCCATGTAATTGACCGTTTCCGCTCAAAACATCGCAATGCGTTCTAGCATAAGCACCAGTCACAGATTCGCGCCGAAATTGAGCGAATGGTTGTGTCTGAACTATTCCCGAAGTGCTGGCTATTCTGGCGGACGGAAATGCTGCTGCGATGGACGTTCCTCCGAAGGTGCTTGGTTTCGGAGCAGACGACGCTTGGCTCGCAGACGACAGCCGGTTCCTCCGGGCCTCGCGCCTTGCATTTGGCGTGGCGACACAAATGCTGGGTCACGTGCCTCGCTCCGACGCTCTTATTGGGTCGCGGGGCCTTAGCCTCCACAGTTCGCCAAGTTATCGTGAAACGGAGCATGTGCAAACAAGGTCGTGACATCGTCTGCGAATGCCACCGCAAAACAGCAAAAACAATCCAAAACATTTTTTTTTTTTTTTTTTACATAGCAATTTTTTTTAATCTTTTTACTTCAATCTTTTATTTCCGAGCCGAGCCTCTAGCGAATCGCAGTGTGATACATTCAGAAACCGAATTTTTAACACTCTCTAAAATGGGTTCGCAGCGCTCTACTACAGGCTGTAGTGAATAAAGTACGATTTAAAATTTGTGCATCCTGAGGGTAATGTGGAACGTTTCTTGGACATCCTACACTTAAATGCAGTGTTGGCAAACACGAAAAACAAATAACAGAAAAAAAATTTTTAAGTACAATGGTGAAGTCATTATCCCAGTTTATTTCAGATTAACGTATTTTTTCACGTGGACTCATCTAAATGGAAGTGTACAGAGCGGAAAGATATACTCTATTTTTATAATACCTGCATTAAGCCAATAAATAAAAACGTGACGAGCAAGAGGTTAATGTATTTACGACGGTCATTAAACGTGTGCTCTTCTTACAGATTCTCGGAAACTTGACACAGCAATTCTTTTTGGCATATTATTCGCACAGTTCAGAAATAGGATCCCAACTAAGGTGCTTGCGTACTATCAGCCGTACAGTGGACGAGTCGCTGCCGTGGACGACCACTTTAGTTTATGGCTACACTTCAGACAATAGTACCCTGTAAGTAAACATGATACAAATTGTCAAATATGTATTACAGTAAATAGAACTCGAGACCCCTCCTATGCACCCTAGGACGCTAATATTTTTTATAATTGTAGCATCTGAGGTTTTTCTTTGTCGAAATGGCCCAATTTAAAACTATATTTTAAAAAAGCCGTAGTATTGTAGCAAACATTGTATTCAATCATGGCCAAGTTGTTAGGGCCTCCTGGGCACAGATTTTTTGTTTTAGCTTATACTCTTCAGAGTGCCCGGCGAGTTAATTTTTCCAAACACAATGCGGTCAGTTAATCAAGGAAATCTGGTAAACGAGTACAGTAAATGACAAGGTGGTAAATAACCCGATTTGCTCGAAAACGCAACCGCACAAGCAAACTGAGCATCCAAAGCTTAATGCTTCTTATCACTGTGCAGATGGCGTTTATTCAGCCATCCTGTTTTCCGACCTCGTCATTGGTTAGAATTTCTTCGCCGACCACGGTGATAGGCCCGACACCTGTTTTGTTGGGAATTATACAGAGTGGAATTTCTACAGTGGCCACTAATATGGCGTTTAAGGGCTTTCTCAAGAATTGAAATTAGGGAGGCGTCTAAATTTTTAGGGGGGGGGGGGGGTTATTGAGAACAGAGGAGTTGTTGGGAATTAAGGGGGTGCCTTCAGAAAAACAAAGGAATGCACCCCCCCCCCCCCCCCCCCCCCAGGAAGTGTGTAGGGAAATCACGGATGGCGTTGCATACCTCGCCGCAAATAAGCTTGAACTTATTTCCATATTGAATGGATGTAACAAAAAGTGAATGTCTCTAAATACATATTTGGGATGCTATACAGTAAGGGAAACGATGCATGAGAGTGGGTCGTGTAGTGCATAGAAAGCTTGCCTTTTTTGACAAATCTCGTTTATTTTTATTTTCAGACTGAGTGGCATAGTAAAAGTTGACATAAAGAAGACGAATGACTCGCTTGTTTTCGACGATGCTTTTAATACGAGATACCCAGAGAAAGGTAAATAGAGCAATGGGAACCTTTTTCTCTCCACAACTAAAACATAAATAATGAGCGGCAAATGCAAGATAATTTGTGGTTACATTGGGACAAGAAGGGCGGAGAGAGGCTTTTCACCTCTTCCACTACCAGCGTGAGCTTACCTTTGATAACGTTTTGGCATCTCGGGAGTTCCTATCACGACGAAGGACAACGAGAAGGTGCTTTATGTTAGGCATGGAAAGAGACATCAAGTCCTTGCCGTCCCGTCAGCGGTCATACAGGGTGAAACAAGGAGACGCCAGGCTCTTTATATCGACCGGAAAATTCGGTTTCTTAACCTATCGCGCTACGACTTTGTGCAGCGTTGCCCACAGATGGTGCATTTTTTTTTTTGTAAAATTGGCAAAGAGCGAACTTACCTGAGGAAAAAGTAAAGAAAAAAAAAGGCTTAGCTCCTATGGAAACGCAGCGACGCCACCGGTCTGCAAACAACACGGCGCCGTTTCGCACGGGAGACAAGAGATGGCGCAACATACGCCGCCAACGAACGAGCATACGGCGCCGAGAGCAGGCCTTTTAGTAGACGATCTTTTCGACTCAAAAGCGGCGCGTGTTCCGCAGGCGGCGATAGTCGCAGAAACAAAAAAGACAGGCGCGTTAACAGCAAGGAACTACAGTTCCATGTCTGCTAAAGGGCCGGCTCTCGGCGTCGTCTGCTCGTTCGTTGGCGGCAGTTGGCGTCGCGACCGCTTGCGCCATCTCTTGTCTCGCGTGCGAAACGGCGCCGTGTTGTTTGCAGACCGGTGGCGTCGTTGCGTTTCCGTAGGAGCTAAGCCTTTTTCTTTCTTTACTTTTTCCTCAGGTAAGTTCGCTGTTTGCAAATTTTACCAAAAAAGATGCACCATCTGTGGGCAACGCTGCACAAAGTCGTAGCGCGATAGGTTAAGAAACCGAATTTTCCGGTCGATTTAAAGAGCCTGCCGTCTCCTTGTTTCACCCTGTAGTGAAGCCGGGGTGGGGTATAAAAGTAGATACTTGTATGCCCAGAAGCTACGTCTTCGCAGACCATGGAAAAACCGATGCAACTATCAAAAAAACATCACACATCAAAAGCAACATTGCGGGACGTTTTGATTTTTTCTTCAAAGGCAATTTGAGGAATCCATAAAACTGCAATTTATATGCGTGCACCGTCTCAAACGCTATTATAAACATCGAGAATATTACGTCCCTTTATAATGGTAGGGAGGAATTCAAGACATTGCAAAGGTGGTCCATAAACTTCAATGCAAAAAAGTATGTCGGGACTAAGAAAAAAAAACATATACATCACCAAGGCTCCAGTTAAAACTAATTAAAATGGTATTATTGAACTCTGAAGACGCAAAGAGTGTGGCCATTTCTTCCGTTGCTCAACTGAAATATATATATTTATATACATTTTTTTTTTCGGTTAGCTGAGGACAGTTTCGGGAGAATGCAAAGGGAGAATACAGCAGAAAGTTCGGCGTGTATGGTCTAGGGCTCCCCAAGGCACAAGAGAAACCTATCAGTTTCAAAAGAAACATGTATTTTCTTTCAAAATGCAACGTTCCAAAGGCAAACCAGTCAACGTCTGGAGGTGAAATTCAATGATGCATAAAACAACTATTCTCAGGCAGATGAATTACGAATTAACAGTGCTACAAGATTTGAATAAAATATATTACAAATGCGCTACACGCACCACAGGTTACAACAAAGTGAGAGTATTTATTTAGAATTCAGAGACTTCAAAAATTTTATACGTATTTATTTGCCGGAATGTTGATGCATGCCAAACGTGAGTGCGTTCCTTTGGTTGTAAATACCAAAGAAAAAAATGAGACCTAAAAATACATTATAGCCGCCCGTCTGTGCGTTTATGGGGTGAAATCATTACCGCAAAAAGAAGATATTTACAACTGGGGGCCCTTGATATTCAAAGAGGTGGGCGTATTATTTTGCAAAAAAAAACGGCCATCAGAAAAAATTACAGGATATAGCCCGTGGTGAATCAGTGGCGATGGTAGACACTCGAACTAGAGAACTGTCTGGAACTAATTTAAAAATATAGAGGAAAAAAGAAGAGTCTGAAATCAAAGCCCCAGCCTAAGACACATGTTATTATTTTAAAGGGAAGCTACCGAGGTGTTCGAAAAAAATTAGGTAGAAGTGAATTCTAGTGTATTTTTATCCCGTGAACCATTGGCTGCGCAAGTATCGTTAAACACGAGAAAACGCGAAGGACAGTGGTTGTACAGTCACTGTACGTGACGTCTACAACGGATATTCTGACTGCCCAAGGCTAGGGAGGCGGGGCTTCAGCCCTATTTTGAAATTGCTCTTAATGCTCTGCGGCACGCCGCATTGAAACATAATTGGGATATATGTTATTTTAAAGGCCAAATGAGCGCAATACAATTGTTTTTTCTCAAATGCAGAACTGCTCCATCTTCCTTTAAGGCACACTGTGCATAAGGTTAACATAAATATATATTGGGTTAAGTACAGTTATATTATGCTGACACAGAGTAAACAAGCTTGCACCATTTTTGTTTAATAGGTTTTAACTGTGTCAAGTCCTACTTCCAACATGAACGGAGCCCTATCAAAGTTTGGCACACAAAAGAGATTCATTAGTAGTAGACTATCTTCTCAAGCGCCATAAATTTAACCTAGCGCTAGCATGCATATAACTGCATGGATGTACCGGCATTTGTTTATAAATAAATTCAGGTGTTCTTGTTTTATTTGTTTTGCAGTAAAAGAGGGGCATTACATATTTAAACACGACATAAGCGAAATAATTTATACAAATTTTGAAACATGCATAGTTCTCTATTCACAATTACTTGGTAAGTAGAAAACATCTTATTAATATAACGTGGCCTTGAAACTTTGTTCAAATAAGCGCTCTAACAAAATTATTAATTACCTTTGTATTACTGGTGCTTGTTGCAAAAGACCATTCAGCGAATACGCTGTTTATTTTGTATTCGACCTACTGCTGGCAATCCTCCACATATCGAACGGTCTTTTGTCCGTGCGACATGTAACGAACACGGTAGCATTGTAAAACGATAAGAAACAGCGAGAAAAGCGACACGGCCAGAGAAGGTGCACACACACAGAGAGGGCTGACTTTTAACTGTTACTTTCAACTGAAAACAGTTTAAAGTCAGGTCTCTGTTTGTGTGTACACCTCCTCTGTCCGTGTCGTTTTCCGCGCTGTTTTTTACCCTTTTAACAATGCAACACCAACTAGCCCAACTTACCATTGTGAACACGGTAGAGGCTTGCTCCGGTGTCTCTCACCTCAGGAAGTGTTCATGTTAGGTCGAAGTACAGAGATGACGACAGCCACTTCAATGGTTTCTTAAAGGGCCGTAAAATCACATAAATCGACTTTTGAAGTCACAACCAAACAAAAAGTACGATAGCCCATGGCAATTTTTCCTATTAAAAACGTAACCAAACATCCGGTATACGCCCGCTTCTTGCATGATATTGCTATGTGGTCGCGTGTTTAATAAAAAATTCCCCTAATTATATTAGCTTCGGGTTTTTATGATGCTTAGGGCGTACAGATCTGTGTCATAACTGAACAATCTAAAAAAAGAAAAAAACTCCAGAGTTTCTTTAAGAGACAGTTCTAGTCACTATTTCTGTTTTTGTTTTAAATAAGGCGTACAAAAAAAAACACTTTATCTTTGTTGCTACTCTTCCCGAGTAACTGTTCAAAAAGTCTATTCAAAACTTGATTGTTCTGACAATTACCTCATTTTTTGTTCTACTATCTCCAATATCTCTGGGTACCCCCTTTCTTCCAGCATGTTGTTAAAGTGTCGGTTTTTATTATGTTCAGGTTGGAATTGTGAATCTCCTCCTCAATGAGAATAACATCACTTTTATGCAAGTAATCTGTGTAAAGAAAATGTATGTTTCGTGATGTTGCTTCGTTATTTTACATACCGAAAGATAAATTATTGTTTGTCAAAACAATGTTGCACGATGAACAAGAACTTCGAAATATATAAAGTGAACCTATTCTGATATTTCCAAATATTTTGCGAAATAGAACAGTATGCAAGTTATCAAACCTGTACTTTTTATAGGATACCAAGTTTGGGTTGCAGGAAAGAACCCCATCGGGACAAGTGGCCTCCCGTACCTTTGCACGTTCCTCTATGAAACCTGCGCTGGACGAAAAAAACACTGGGCTTACGATTGGACTATATGCCCTCGAATTAAATCTAAGGATCCTAAAACAGTGCCTAATAGAGGGGACAGCACTAAAGCATAAAAAATAAAATAAATGTGGAGCCCTCTTTTGAAGTTTTTTTCACCTCTATGTAACGCTGACTTGAATTTTATAACTAGTACCTTTACAACCAGGGACTCAATCCGGAACCAGAACCGGAACCAAATAAACCAAATGTCCTCGGTAACCTTGACAGTAAAAAAAACCTGTCAATAACCCGATACGTAACCGAAACCGGAAACAATTAATCAGTATCTGATGTATTATTATCGATTCGTGACAAAAAAAGAAATAATTGAGAAATATTTTGAGTAAAGCATCCCATGGCGTAAACTTGGCCATTTCGTTAAAACACCTGAAACTGAATAAAAAAAAAAAAAACTTGAAAAAAAAAGTAGAAGAAATAGGGAAAGAAGTCGGCCAGGCGACGTCTCAAACTCAGCTAATACGTTTATCCAGTAAACCTCTGTGGACACTTTAATAACAAGGTCGTCACCATACAACACAACAAAGACAAAAATCGTTTTTTTTTTCTTTTTCTCTTTGTAGAAACTTTGCAGCCACAAATATACACACTTATGACACGTGTTTACAACCATATTAAAAATAAAACATTTTGGTTCTTCCATTTGGCCTAGAGGCTTCTGTAATATTTCAGAGGTAACTCCAAAGTTAATGGATATCCAAGAAAAAAAAATCCAACGAGTTTTAAGTGACTTTCGAGTCCTAAAAATAAAATCATTACTTTGCTTCTTTTTTTTTTTTTTTAGTCTTACGCAGCCCCAAAAGCAACATAGCACTGCTAGCGCCACTTTCAGCGCCGCCTCTTCTTTGCCCTGAGTAAGATGGCCGCCAACCGGAAAATCTGGTTTCCCCTGATCGCATGAGGAAATGTGGGAAACCGCCACTCCAGAAGTTTTATTTAACCTCCTTGCTATCCCACCAAAACAGCAAATAAACAAAAGGCTAACAATATTCGATCACTGGAAAAAAATTATAAAACACAGTCGACCGAAAGACGTTTAGTTTTGGGCTATGCATGACCTGCAGTACGTCACTCCTAGAATGTTGATATTGATGTTAAAGCCGGTCACGCTACTTTTGCTTCTCTTGGGCAATATGCGAACATCAAGGCTCAAGCAACTAAGCCAAGGAAAATATGTTCCATACTCATAGTCTTTTCCTGCCTCAGCAACAATCCTTGCTTGCTGCTGATGTTTTTTTTTTAACTATCTCTAAGATATTTAATTGTGTCCATACTAAACAGTTATAACTAAAGGGACACTGACAGGGCATCTATGCTCACCGAGGTTGTTTTTAATGGGTTAGCATTAGTACTCGCATGGCGGAAAAGGTGACGGCGTCCGTCTGTGGACAAAACAGTGGAAAGGGAAACGCGCCGCATAGAGAGGAGGAGAGTAGCGAAGGGCAAAGGCGAGAGGGAGACGACGTCACGGGGCGGAAGCCAATCCGCGCGTTATGCTGGAGCGAGTTCAAACTAGCAGATGTGTAAAATGCGTATGCCTTGGTTTGTATTAGAGGGCGGAGTGTGAACCAAGTACTAGCGCTGGTCCAAGTAGGCGGAAAAAGAAGACGGGCTGTGAACGAACGGCTGTGTACGGGCTGCCGAAACCGGTGAACTGCGAAAGCAGCGTCAGCCAGAATCTTTTGTTTCATCAAAAAAAGATACACAACACATAATGTGTCATCAAAAAAACTTCAAGCTTTTTAAAGCACCTTTTTAAAATAGATTTCCATACGAAACCCCCAAAGCCAGAACAAATATTAAAGGAAGATCCATTGGTGGATACTTGGGGAATGCAATAGCATGACCCTTGGCAAACGCCACACACGTTCCCCTATCGGGAAGCACTAACGTTGACCCCGTAATGAACCCAAAAAGAGACAGCAAAAAATACAGGAGGCAGAAGAGGTTGCCAAAAGAGAAAGCAAAAACAGAAAAGTGAAGGGGTCCGCGTGAGCGTTTCCCGAATGGGGGACGTGTGTGACGTTTCCCAGGGATCATACCAACGCATTCCCTAAAAATACACCAATGGTTAATCCTTTATTTGATCATGACTTATAAGAGCCCAAGAAACCATAAAAACAATTTCCGATTCGAAATTTTTCGCCCGAAAATAGCCAGTGAAGAATCGACCGGTACAGACCCGCTCACTCTCTTTTCTATTGTCACGTGGCGTTCAAAACTAAAGCGTACCATTTATGTTCAAAGTCGTGAGTCATCTAAGGAACATATTCAATATTAAAAACGAAAAAAATAGGAACTTTATGTTCGTTGTTTCTAAAAAACTGAAAAAGTAAGTTGATGAAAAAGGCTCGAGGTACACCTAAGCACTTCTTATGAGTTGTGAATGCGAAAGCATGCACGCCGCTCTTCCACTCCCTCTTTCGTCTGCGCGGCGTACTTGCGTCGACGGTCGAGCGCGCGCGCTGTCCTCGACGCGCTGACCTTAGGCGTGGAGCGATGTGAGCCGCTGCCTCGCGGACACGTAGCGCCATGGGGTGGCGGTCGTTGAAACTGACGCGCAGCGGCCAATGGGAGCCTCGTCGACGCACGCCCGCCAATGGGACCGAAGCCGAAATCCATCAGCTTTACTCCGCTCCTTTGGGATCGGGGAAACTAGGTGTCGTTTCGCTAGGCTTTTCGCGTGGTTTCACAGCTGGGCGCTGGCTCCACTTGGAGAAAGGATTTAAGGTGCCGTATGGCGCGACTTCAAAGCTGATGACGTCGGCTCGCTCCGTAAGACAATTAATGCTTTCGCATTAAAAAAAATACAAAATCCTGCACAGATCAAAGGAAGCACATGTTCACGTCATTCCCAATATGGCGACTTACCGCGGGCTGGACGACGCGATGGCGGCGCACGACGTACCAACGTTGCGACGGACGTGGGACTGCTACGTCGGAACTGTCGTTCGTGGTACCGGCCAACCGATCTTCAAGCGTAGAACACCGAGCGGAAGAGATTTACGTGCGAAACAATTGCACGACAAACGGTGCAAGCAACTTCGTCGTCGTCTTCGCTTCACACGCCAAAGAAGTGGAAACGCGGTCGGGTGTAACCATGTGACTTTCGACAACTTTTACCTCCTCCCCATTTCTTCCTCCTCCTCGGTATACATCGCCCACATGTAGCGGAAATGAGCATCCGTGCTCACATTTCGGTTTCGGTTTCGAGCAGTTGGGTTCTTTGGCTTTATTAAAAATATTCGTAACTCTGTAGCAAAATATAGATTGGAACCATATCAAATCTCCTGACTCTATATTAAAGCGCCCCTGAAAAGAAAAAAAAAAGTTTTTTAAAAACAGTCTGGTTGAGACACGCGTGTCGAAAAATGAATTTTACGCGAAAAAAAAAATTTTTTTAGAGCAATATTGATTGCGCCAGACGCAATTTAGTCGGCAGTCACCTCCTTTCCACTTTTCTCTCTCTCGGCATCTCGGGCGCGTGGAGGGGAGGTAGTCCCCGCCTCTTCGTAGTGGATCGGCTTGGCTGCTTTCCTGGCTTGGCTGCGCCCCGCACGAGAGCCATTGCTACTTCCTGGCCGTGTTCCAAAATCGACTCGATCTTACCCCAGGGTGAGGGTTTTGTACTCTTGGCGTTCTAAAACCTACCCGCGTACAGCGTTTTTCAATCTGTGCTGTCACGTGATACGATCCGCCGGAGAAACTCGGATCCATTTGGAGATTTGGAACACAGCCCCTGGCTGGCTGTCTGACGACGACGACATACCGCGTCGTATCATGCACGTACCGTGGTCACCGTGGTCGTACACACAGTACATAGTCGTCGCGGTGGACCCCGACCTGAAGCGTCGGTTGCTTTAACGCTGCCAGCAGCTGGGCCTTCGCCCGTACGAGGACACGCCTCGCCAGCCGGAAGGCGTCCGCTCCGATCGCCGCGAGACAACCGCTCGCGAGGCACCCGCTTCGCCGCGGCGAAGCGGGTGCCTCGACGAGTTCGTTCGAGCCGCACGATCCTTCAAGCCGCCGCGAGGACACGCAGTGGTAACTGATTTTTTTTTTTATTAAACGTTGAGTGCGGTGCCGCGTGCCTCACTAAACTCTTTACGGGAACCACGGGAACCGACATCTAAACAAAAATTGGCACTGGCGCGCGCCAGAAAACAAACAAAAGATGAGGTAAACGGGACACACGAACCGCGCAAAGAAGAGCAGAAAAACAGAAACCTGTCACCCCGCGCCACTTCCTAAGTACTTACTATGACTGACTAACTAACACAAGCAGCAAGCCCTCTTCAGAACGCGAAACGCGAAGACGGCGACCACGACAGAAAACAAAATGGCGAAGCTTTTGTTTGTTGTTTTGTTGAAGTATCCGAACGGAAGTTACGATTTTGTAGAACGTTTGTAAAAAATTGCGACATTCATTCGATGGATTGTTTCTTAAACCTAAAAATATGTAATTCAAAAGGCGATTTCAAGAGATCACGAAGATTTTATAACCAACATCTAAGCTGTCACTCATTCTATTGGCCAATGAGAAGCCGATTTGAATGACCATGGTTACCAATGAGAAGCCGAGCTGAATGACCAGGAATTTGCGCGCAAATTTTCAAATAAATCTCTCGCCGTCAATATTGCTCTAAAAAAAATTTGTTTTCGCGTAAAATTAATTTTTTGACACGCGTGTCCCAACCAGACTGTTTTAAAAAAACTTTTTTTTTTCTTTTCAGGGGCCCTTTAAACCTTCTGGAAAATATTAAAAAAATAAATAGGTGGTGTTAGCGTCATCTTATTTAAACCTTTTTTTATTAGGCCGAATCAAGTTAAGATCATTTTTGAACACATGGTAAAAATTTGTAGGATCAGAAAATGTAACTCCGATTTCTTCCTAGAGCGACAAAAAACTAGACCGGGGAAAAAAATCCTTGTTTATAGTTATTGATCAAATCAGGTTCGATAAACAACATTCACTGAGGTCGGGTGGTAATTGTTTGCTTGCTGCTGGTCTTTCCCGCCGAACACTGGGTGAACCCATCACTGCAATTAAAAGAGAAAGCTCTGCGAATGACAAAGCAGAAAAGTCGTTTCGTACTAGCGATGCCGTTTACTTTGTGTCTCTGAGACTTGATCATCATGTTTTCGTCATGTTTTCGAAAAAACATGACGAAAAGGTTAACGTGTGGAAGATCTTATTTTGTAACAGTCGATTCGGATCCCAAAACTCGCAAAGGTTGTTTCCATGCCATCTGCCATTATTTGTGTTTTTTTCTCTTAACATTGTCCTTGTGCAAAGCAGCTTTACACAAAACGTTATAAACAATTTTTTTTTTTTTTTTTTTACGTACAATTAGATGACGTATATTCCAACTGCTTGGGCGGATCTGCACATTGTCTTCTAATGCCAGAGGGTGAACGACAGAAGAAGTTCGCGAGAAGTGTTTTTTTTTTGTGAGTGTGTGCGTGTGTGTGCGTGTGTGTGTTTTAAGCTTGCCTTTTCAGGATCGTCTTTTGGGCAGCGAAATATATTTCGTTCAACATCAGAAGCTTCTCCACTTCTAAATGCTATAGAGGCAATATTTTGCAAAAAGAAAAAAAAAAAAAGTATATACCATGTTCCTTTTTCTGTGTACCACATTCGTGGTTTTCGGATGCTCATTCAGTAAAACGGAAGACCAAAAATGTTTCCCGAAAGGCGTAGAGCAGCACCTGCGGCATCCACCAAACGCTTGGAAGGTAATGAAATTTTCGTACACGCTTTCGTCAAAAACATTGAGACGAACTAATTGACTCCTTTCTCCTTTGAGGCTTGGTACTTGGTATCTCAGAGTAGAAACGCAAAAATACAAAACATCTGGATTGCACGTATGAAACATTCCGGTCATATCTGGATGTTTCCCTCCACGTACTGAGTCATGTCATTCCTGTATCGGATCAGGCAAGCGAATCTGAATACCCTCAATTTGTATCAGTTTCAAAATGCTGTCGTAAATATATTTATTTCGGCTCACATAAATATTTAGTCTATGCAGTCTTGCTAAGTCAAACGCATATTGTCACCGATGGATCGGCGAGACGGGGACTGGCAAAGAAACTAAACGTTTTATAAGGCGAACTTGTGCCAAAACAAAAGAGTAATAACAGACGTCGAAGGCGAGCGTCGATGACGGCGAGGTGGCAGGATCGAACGCTGGCAGAAGCCTACAGCCGCGCGGAGCACGTTTTATCGAGAGTAGAAATGTCGCGAACATCCGAACTAGAATATTCGGCCCTAGAACATTCTGACCCGGAACTAACGAGAACAACCGAGAAGCTTCTCAAAGAAACTAAAAACACGTTCTAACAAGTTATCAGAATTGATGAGCGGCTCCCAGGCATCGAACTTGAGACACTTCGGTAGCGTTCAAGAGCGTTAACCACTCGGCCATGCTCGCTTTTATTTTACTATTTATTGACTCGGCCACGCTCGCGGCAGTGTAATGTCTCGTGCATGAAGCATACTATCCAATTCAATGCCACAACCGTTTATTGTACTGCAAATTTATGAAGGGTATCATGACCATTCAAAGTTATACATGGTTATACATGGTAAACAATGTCATATTGCCGCGCGCAAGGCTGAGAAAGAAACGCTCGGTCACGGTCCTCCAGAAAGTTCCCGTTTATTCATGTACCGCACGTAACTTCTATCATTTATCCCTGCTTTTGTTTTCTAGAAAGTACGTGTTCATTCTCGCCCCGATCACGCGACGCTCGAACCGCTTTCGCCGAATCTTCGAGATAGCGGCGCACTCTAGATAAGAGGCCGCCCGCGACCTTGTCGGGTCAGTCTCGCCCTAGCGCTCGATTCTGCTGACACGCCGACTTCGACGCCCGCGACGCTCTGCTTTCTTCTGTCTCCTTCTTTATTTTTGGCACAAGTTCGCCACATTAAACGTTTATTTATTCCTGTTTATTTCTTGTTTATTAGTCACCACCCGTGACAATATTACATAAAATACCTTGCGCCGGGGACTCATAAAAACAAACCAGCATGCAAGCACTCCCCAATGCATTGTAATTCCACGTCATGCTCAAGCTTCGTTGGAGGTAGAAAGCAGAAACTCTTCAAATATCGCAACATTCACTTCAATATGCACTTTCCATATTTAAAGAAAATACAATTAGCGCCATAATAAAGCACCATAATAGACATTGACCTTTACTATTAGCTTATGCGCGCGGTTACGAAAAAGAAAACGGGGGGGGGGGGGGGGGGGAGAGGGGTTGAATGAGCAAACATCTACAAACGTGAGTACAAGTTAATTCCTCAGTTCCGGAATTTTCGGGAGACCGGGTATCTAATGTACTGTATACAGTTAGTGGGAAACGCTTATACCCGTAATTCACGAAAATGTGTTTGCTACGAGCGGCCGTAATACAAAACTCGGGAAAAATTAGGAAAGGTACATCTGAGAAATATCGATGCAATGAACTAACCTGGTTCGAAGAAGACATGCACTTGGAAGTCATCATAAGATCATTGCCCTTAGGTCGTTCGGGTCCTAACCATCTAAGGACAAAATTTGTTTCATCTTAGAGATGTACATATTGTCTTCAACAGGATTGCTGATATGCCACAGAAATCAGCAGTAGCTACACAAGTACTAAACGTTGATTTTGTCGTCTTTCTAATGAACCTTGCCCCCTATGTTTGATCACATCTATATAAAATATAATGGAAGTACAGAAGCAAGAACCAACAAAAATAGTTTCATCCATGAATATTTCTATTCGACTATTGCGAATACAATAGATTGGCACGCTAATTATTCTTGTACTGTAAACAATAGCTGAGCGCGTTGCTGCAAAAAACATGCCGACGGCGAGCTTCCTCACAGTAATTTTAACGTGCTTTCCGCAGCATCAAGGTTGCTGCCGATCTTTGTAACCTATGAAGGTGAGCTCGTTCTGAACATGTCCGTGAACAATGCACTCAAATATGGGGGCCAATGAATAAACCCCATATTCGCTGGCAACTTAGAAGACAACTCCGGTCAATATTTTCGAATTTTGAACGACGACTGTTTTCAGCTCAGTCGGTTACCCCGAATTTCAAAGGTACACTTTTCTTTATCGATATTGTGTGTACCTTTCTAAATGTCACAGCTCAAAGTTTGGTTTCGGACCCCTACGGCAAAACCGAAACCATCTGCTAGAGAGGGATGGCAACATTGATTATCAGCTGTACGGCTGCGACGTGACGTCACGGGGGTGCTCCGGTACGCGGCTCCTGTGCGCGGAATGAACCTCAGCACAACCGCGACGTAGCTTCAAGGGGGTGGTGCGGTTCGCGTCGCCCAGTGTTGCTTGACTAGAAGCTAACCCGCTTGCCAACTACTAAAGAGCAGCTGGTCGAATCTTTAAAATCCGTTTTAGTGGAGTACGCGGCGTTCCGCTGCCGTAATATTTCGGCTGTGATCGTATTTTGTACAACAAAAGGTATACCGGTCATTTATGTTGGTTTCGTTTTCGACCGGAGTTGCACTTTAAGAAACCTAAGATGTGGCTTATTTTGTTCGCATTCCGCCTTCTGATCCGTTCCTCAGCATGTTTATCAGCTTATGCCACAATTTCATTGCCTCCGGAGCGATAATATGATGGTTGAACGTCTCCTCGACCTGGTTTCTTTAAGTTGTAAATGACTATACAGGATGTCCCAGGTGAATGGCACCGAACGTTTAAAAAATAACTGGCATCTCCGCGGGTGTGAAACCAGGTATATTTTATTAGCAATCCTCTTAGAAAAGTACACATTTTTTTAGCGCGCCTAGTTACGTTAATAAGTAAGGCTGATCAGCTAACTTTTCAATTATTCGTTTCATTGCCGAGGTGTGAATTGGAAAGCTGTAGAGCGCATTCGGAAACACCGGATTAGGATGAAGACTACATGATACGCTTTGCGCGCTTTTTTTATTGCACTAAAAAGAAAGTCCACGAAGTATTTTTAAAAAAAAAAGGCCATGTGATAACGCGTTCAGGCATCGCGCTTGCAGCGCTCTCAGACGTGCTCTGAAGGAACGAGCGTAATGTAGTTCTAACTGGCCCACAGTCCGAGACCAGGATTCGCGTTGGTGAAGGCCCCAAAGATAAGCGAGCACCATGCTGCCTCAAAGCCCTATCTCGGACAGCGCTCAAGTGATAAGGTGGCCTTCGTTCATTGAGAGCACGTCTGAGAGCGCAGTAAACGCGACGCGCGCGGGTCTTGTCACGTGATCTTCTTCTATATATCACGGGACTAATTAGACTCTCAGACTAATTAAAAGAAGCGCGCAAAGCGTATCATGTAGCAAGTCTGAATTTGCATTCCTCAATGCCCTCCACAAATTTTTAATTCATACCTCGGCTCTTAACGAATAATTAAAAAGTGAGATAATTAATTTGAATTATTAAAATAAACAGATGCACTAAAAATGTGTGCACTTTCATAAGACGCTTTCTAACAACATACACTTGATATCACCCCGCGTACAAAGCTCCGTTATTTTTAAGTTTTGTGCAAGTTATTTGGGACACCCTATACCAGTTACGACTGCCCTGAGCAACTGTTGTGCCTGTTTTCGCTGAAACAGCTGGACGTTTTTAATCCCGCTTTCCAACTTCACCATTCACAGTGCCTATACGCTTTGTATCTTGAGAGAAGTTACATATCTAAGTTCAAATATTCACTCTTGTAAACTTAATAAAATTTATGTTTAATTCAAATTTACATATCGTACTTTTCAGCTCATGAAAAAGTTCAACGGCATATTTTATCTTGTTTATTGTTCTAAAGACACAGATATTAAAAATACGTTGCCTTGCCTCAATGTTCACAAGTCAAGTTTGGATGAAACTAGAAAGATCGGTCGATATGTCTATAAACATGCGAACGCGACGACGACGTGAGTATGTTTTTCAAGAACAAAATTAAGTGTTTAATATTTTTGTGTCTACCCAGCAAGGCAATTTGTGGGTGCGATTCTCGCCTCCAGAATTAAGCTAGTTTTGCGCGTAGTCCTTACTCTGCGACAAGCGATTTTTTCAACATTTCGTTACAAAATAATACATGTCGCAACCACTTCCGCTCTATATTTGTGCTATTAATGAAATTACTAACTACAGTCACTCACAACCATACCTCGGGAAATCTCATTTATGAGTAGGATTTCTCGAAGTATGGTAAACCATATTTTTAAAAAAATATTTTTGTTTTCGTGTTAATGTTTTTTTAAAGAAATACTGAACCGAAATATGAATTATGCAAAAGAAGGCCGCAGAAGAGTTGAACGGGACACTACAAACTCCAAGAATTCACTCATACATCGATATCTCAAGCGGATGGCCGTATTTTTGGAAAAGAAGGGCGCGATCAAGCGAGGACTCTGACGTCATGATTCTCCTGGAACAGTTGAGGATGAGGGGAAACGTTCTCGCTTCGGTTCACCTGCTCGAGGGGACGAAGCGAAAACGAAAGGGAATGAGAATCGCGACGTCACATATGTCGCGTCAGCCTCGTGGGCCGTGGTCAATCGCGCATTTGTTTTCCAAATATACGGCCAGCTGTTAGAGATATCGCTGTACGAGTGGTGTTTTGGGGGTTTTCCTGCAGCGTCTCGCCTATCGCTCCAATTCTGTTTTGTGAGCTCCAAATTTCGCTCGGTGTTCGCTGGAGGGCCTAACCGACAAATTCGCAAAAAGAGTACCCATATGAAATAGGCTTTATCAGGAAAATTTTTACACCACTTTCAAAAATAAATCGCCAATATATCCAATAGCGGCCTTTTTTTTTCTTTCTTCTTGACGGTACAATTTAAGGTACTCAACCACCAAGTACCACTCCTTCCGTACTAAATATAATAAAAAAAAAAACTTGCGTAAAGGTTATATATATTTGTTACCTCGCTTCGTGCTGGAAACAAAATCCTGTTATTGGCTGCGTGTTCCATTTTGTGTTGCTACTTCCCGCAGTACGATGTATAAGCAGGGTGGATAAATTAGAATAAAAAAAATCGCATAATGAGATTTATTTCTATTTAAATCAGATTTATTTCATTTTAATTAAATTATTTTCATTTTAATCACTGTAGTTAGAATATAGTCATCATTTAACACTACCACAAGATATATCTCGCATATCAGATTGATTCATGAATTGGTCGGACCACTGATAACAATGCAAAAGAATTACTGTAACTATAAAGTACAGTTTAATTTACAACTTATTATTGCTGTAATCGCCGCCATACTAGAACAAGACAACTTCATTTTATCAGTTAGGTAAAACGCTTTATTTTATTTTTCTTTCGCGCCCTGACTTGTCGAAATATGGCATTAACTTTCTAGTTGTTTTTTTCTTTCGCGTTATCAGTTTTTTCAAGCAGGATGTTACGTAGCTGACGAACAAAGGGAAGAAAGATTTCAAACTTAAATATCAAATTTTCTCAGACGAGCACTTTTTTCGATTGCGTTCAGCCTTAGATAAGCCTTTCTTGCTTGATGATTCTTTGATTTGAAATACAAAACAAACACAGATAGAAAACATCAATGTGACAGACAAACGGTGAATAAAAATATTTTAAGATTATTCTTGCTGCAAAGCTTTGATTCAAATCGCGATATTAAAACTGGTCGAATTTAAATCACGATTTAAATAATATTTTTTTTATTCTCTAGCCTGAGTATAAAAGATAGCATAAAGCACCTCAATGCTATTTTTAGGTTTGTTGTATCACAGTTATGTCAAATCTATTGTATATCTCGGTAAACATAACCTATATCACATTTTCCAGTACTTATGCGGAGCGCCAGATCGTCTGCTCCCTTTGCAGGGGTTGTGGTGACGTCAGAACGCCGAGCTCTGATTGGTTGTGATTGAAGCATAGTGCCTTGACATCAAAGCAAGTTGCCTTGAGGTCTACCCGCTATCCTTCAATGGGAGCCAATCAGGGCTTGGCGCCTTTATGACATCACCACAACCCCTGCAAAAGAAGCAGACGAATTTGCACACTGCATAGTCACTGGCATGTTAAGATGCACAAGGTGTGACCTATTGTGCTTATGCTTCTCGTTTTGTTATTCGTGCTTCCGCATTCTTATTGGTTAATGCCACAATCTTATTGGCTCGTAACTCACCACACCCTGTATTTCTTGAGCTTTCAGTGACCATAATAAGTGGTGATCAAAGGTCGCTATAAATAAGTCTGCGATTCGTTGTGCCTTGCCTAATTTTGCTGTTAGCTCATGGCGATCACATGTATCTAAGAAGAAAAAAAGACTTCCTCAGAACGTCCTTTTTCTGCGTCGCAAAGGATTTTTACATCCTAACCATTGTGTCCCCAATGGTATCATTATATAATTTGGTAGTATTTCACCAGTTCTTCCTCGCCCTCTATTTTAGACAAATTCATGTATCTCTATAAGGTCCCTGAATAAGCAGGTAAAAATGTTTATTCGTTAAACCCTCCTGCTAATAAATTATTTCAAATGCTTATACAAGTAATTGTAGTTGGTCAAACTTCGCAAGGAGCCGAACGTTTTCTAGTTTGTTTTTAGTACGGCTCTCTAAGTGAAAACGAATAATTTGAAAACACATTTCTCCGCATTAATCTCTGGGTGTTTTTACGCACTTCTAGTAAATAGAAAATGTTAGACCTTCAGAAGTAGAACATTTAACCGCAAATTGAACTTCACTGTTAGTATCAACAATAATAATTCAGTTTTAAGTGTATATATGTAAACATAACCAGTTGAGCAGGCCTGGTTCTGTACGAGGATGCAAAACAATAACTAATATATTACTCGTTCGTGCGCTGCAATCAATAAAAACACAAATATGCGAGAAAAAAAACGTTTTTATGTTGCTTCTTTATATTCTAGATTGACGGGAACTAAGGAGGTGAAAACTGAGAAGAAAGATGATGCCTACAACAACCCAAATATGTTTGTTGTGCAATACCATGAGGGTGGGTGCCTACATATAATAAAAATACGCCACAGGCAGAGTCATGGGTATCATGTGACGGTAATTAACTTTAGGACGTCAAAGGTTTACTGAAGCACATTGATTTTCTGTTTTCTCCTTTTATTCGTAATTGTTTTATAAGGCGTTTTCAGATAAGTTTGGCAGACCATGTCCGGCGATCATTTCCAATTTTTACGAAAAACATAAATTTAGTAGACTCAATGCCCATCACAGCAAAACCGAAATCTGTTCTGCGAAAAAAAAAAGTTTGTCTTTGCAGAACAAAAATAACAAGCACACTCTTAGTGCGAGGCGCTTTCAACGAATTGCGCGAAGTTGGCATTTCGGGCACCTCTCCCAAAAGAAACTGCCATGGCTGCGGGTCTAGGCATATTTACTCACAAACTACGTACAAGGAGGATTGACTGCAAATATATATAATTAAGTATCGACGAAGTTAATTTGCAGAGAAAGATCGCAAACACGGCACATTCCGCAAAAATACTTACATTTTTATATCTTTTCTCCGCATCTATAAATACCAGAACTTTCAAACTTTGCCCGCGTGTTGTCCTGTATCTTGTTAATATTGGCGCTAAATATTATTGTCGTGGGTATGGGAGCAAACGTATGAGAAATACTCAAATGGAGCCATTTTAATAATTAAAAGTCAACTCGAAACTAAATCTTAAAAAAAACACCTTGTATTTTTTTTAACTCTTTCACATTAAGGCCAATGATAGGTACTAACATAATCTGCAAACATATGTTGCACTATTTTTGTGTATTTGAAGTTATAAAGCTAGAAATATGACCCAACTGAGGCTACCGCAGTACCGCGAATGGGGCGTGTACACTATACTCGGCGACAACTTTTCTTGGCAATGCAGTGGAAGGTACGTCCCGCGTCCCCTCTCCCATTTTGGGTGTACGCAGGCTCTCCTCCTCTCCCCGGAAATGGGGGAGGAGGAGAGCCTGCGTACACTCAAAATGGGAGAGGGGACGCGGGTATAGATACCCGTACAACCGTATAGATACTCGGTTGTCGCCGAGTATAGATACCCGTACAAATATGCCATATATGGCCCTGATATATTTTATAAATGGAAATATTTGATAATATAAGGAGTCAAATATGGCATATACCGCCATATATGGGAAAAATACGCCCAGATATTGGCACATAAAGGCCGATTCACACGACGGACTGATCCGCGGACGGATTGGTCACGTGACAACATGTCCGCGGTTCGTCCGTCTCCCAAGCGCATCCACATGAGGGAGACGACGAGCAGACGCCAGCGAGGACGGACCGAACCTGTTCGCCACCCCACAGTGCCGTGAAACTCCAACATCGCAATGTGGCACCGTTGTCCAAGAGAGAAATCGACGCTTGCTACCGCGATAAAGAATCGTACGCCGCTGTTACGTACAGATCGAGACATAACACAGGAAAAGGCTTCGCGCCAAGCGCCACTAACTTTACTAACCCAAAGCATGACAGTGACGCAGGCGTGGTCCTGCTCAAAAGAGCTTCGGCGTAGACGCGACGAAGTTCTGGGCTCGCTGAGGTGCGTTTGGAGATGCCTTCACGCACTCCGCGCTCGTGCACAACACTCAAGCGTACCACATCCACAAGAGAGGTCTTGCTCGGTGAAATCCTGATTGGACGTGCAAGAATTATCGCGGCGTGCTAGGCGAGTTTTGACGGGAGCTTCTTGACACGGACCCGGAGGAGTACCGGAACCTGCTTCCCGTCAGCCGGACAAAGTTTCTGGAGTTTCTTTCACTCGCGGAACCAAGAATCGTGCGACAAAATGAACCAACGAATGCACAAAACACAACGGTGCGCCATTTTCGTTTTGAACCCCAGAAGCAAAAAACCAAGAAAACCATGTACCGTTGCCAGACTAAATGCTTTCCAAGTCAATCTCCCGCCAAACGTCCGCGAGTGAAAAAGGCGCTGGACCTTATCAGTCCGCGCCTCCACGGACGAGGCGCGGATCGCAGGAATAGGTGACGTGCCGGTCACGTGGTACGCGGTCCGCGGACGAAAATCGCGATTCGGTCCGTCGTGTGAATCGACTATAGACATTTTCCATAGGGGCGCCGCCATCTTGAATTGTCGTCACTTCCAGTATGGGCGACGATAAAATAGTAAAACGTTTCAACCTGTAAACAGTAAAAAGATAGAGGAGAGCCAAAACGAGAATGTGTGACGGTTAGGCTTATGTCCTAAATGTCTTCTATTGGCGCGGCGACGGCAAAGTTATGTTTTCGCCCATACTGGAAGTGACGACAATTCAAGATGGCGGCGCCCCTATGGAATAGGTCTATAAGTGGGCGAATACTGCCATCTATGGCCATATAAGTGCGTAAATGCGGCCATACATCGCCATATACGCGTGCAAACACAGCCATATATAGCCAAGTATGCGTGCGAATACGGCCACATACCGCGGTATAAAAGGTCAAATACAGCCATAAATAGCGCATGCACGACATATATGGGTAAAATATATCCCCTGATAATGATATATGGGCCCGTTTCGGTCTTGCAAGCAAAAAGTCATACGTACTCGCGAAGACAACTGTAAATTTATCTATATTGCATTGGTCTCATGTAATTGATAAACTATTGTTAACATCCATAACGTGAAGTTATTCCAGATATTTGGACCAATAAATCCATTGCGCATACTGGAGATTGAAACACAAATAAAATTTGGTTGTATGCTTGACGTGTGAGATGACCAAGTGCATAAGATTAGAAAACGAGTTAATAAAAAATAATGGATTTTAGATCGTAGCTCTTAGGCGCCCGTTTCTGCGTTAAGCGGTGTCGGCGTCGCCGTCGGCGTCGGTGTAACTGCCCCGCTAAATTTAGTGGGAAATTTAATTGGTGTTTATGTCACGTGACGTCAATTTTCCCGCTAAATTTAGCGGAGAAACTTATTTTGTTCATGTTTCCCCGCTCAATTTAGCGGGGAAACTAAGTAGGTGTTGAGGTGATGTGACGTCAGTGAATTTCACCACTAAATTTAGCGGGAAAACTGAATAAGTGTTGAGGTCACGTGGCGTCAATTTTCCAGCTACCGCTTCTCATAAGTGGTGCGTACATTCGACCTCACAAATACCGCGGAACCTTTGCTGTAGTGAAATGCAGTTAATGGGTCACCGGATATAAGTGGCGCCAGAGTGCCGGTGTATTCTGTCGTCGTACGAGATTGTAAGAGGTTCAAAAACACTCGGTCGTAAGGAGTCGCAAGATTGTAAACAGGTCTTTAATCTTAGTGAGGCTAAAATAATTGCTTCCAGTCTGACGCAATTTGTTTTGCTGCGATGCCTGCTCAAGTTATGAACGCACTTGGAGTAGTAAATGAATGCTAGTGCTGCAAGTAAGGAAAGTATCATTAATAGATAGCAAAAACCAAGTTGGTTAACGCTTCCTTTCACAGAAACTTTTTATTCAGTAAGGACTGGAGGATAGCCAAAAGAATAAGTAAGGCCTTCCAGTACAGTGAGCTTCATTTAAGTCTAGAACAAATGTGTAACGCTAATCGCAATAAAATGCAAACCTGTTACTAAAGGGTTGCGAGAAATAACTCTACACCAAAAAGCTTATGCGCAGATATCCTTGTTATGAGAAGCCGAAATTTGCAAAGCGACATTCTGGATGCATTTCTCTTGATTAAATTAGATAAGAACACTAAAGGCAAATCTCATGATACAAGTTGATTGAATACGATCCACGGCAACTTAAACTTTTTTATTGCAGGTGATGACTATAAATGGAACTGCATTGAGCTGCTTTATACAGATTACATGAGTTGTGCTGTTTTAAAATCAGATTTTTTGGGTAAGTGAATTGAAAATAGAAGAACGAATATCTACTGAACGCTAAAATATTCTCGAGCGAATACCGGCCAGCTTAATCATGCGCGACATCTCATGATCACTTCCGGGAAAATTATTAGCAGGGTATAGGGGACCGCACAGAATGTCGCGTGGGATTTTCATTGCCGCCAGAGCAGAGACAAAATACTATGCAGGGTCTATCAGATTGGTTTTCGATTGCATTTGTTTAATTTTTTTTTCTTTGTTAGACTTCAGCTTTTTTTTTTTTTTTTTTTTGATTCCGTAACAATATATTCACGTCCCTTTCTCACACGTTTCAGGTATTCAAATGTGGGTGTCCAAAACTAATTTAAAGAACGACCGAGAAGTTCCTTGGTTATGCTCTCTTGTGTACGACCTGGCAACGGACAAGCCAAGACAGGTTGTGTATGACTGGAAAGAGTGCCCTCAACTTCTCAATGTAGCAAAAAATATTTAAACTTACTATTTTTGTGGGATTTATTTCTTGTGTTTGGTGATTTCATTTTCTATAAATTCTAAATAATTTTATCGCTCTCTCCAATACGCACGAAAAAACGTCTGAGGGTTATATAACGCTTATCTTACGCGAAAGAATGTCAATCGATAATCAAGGCACACGCCTTCTGCATAAAGTGAAGTGTTTGGCTTCTGGTCGGCATAGAAAGAAAATTGTAAAAAATACTTACATTACACTTATTTAATGGACACTCGGTTTTCTTTACATCTTATGGACCATTAAGCAAGCACCAGTATCAAAATTAAATAAATAAAAGGTGCACAAATGATTACACTGTCGTTTATTGCCTTTGTACAGGAAAATATTTCATTATATATTTGTGCAAACAGTGAGCGTCACCTCTTGTGTAAGGCTCTCTTGAAAAAATAAGATACTGACAAGGAACTATCTTGACTGACAAGTTGAGAAGCGTGATCATCTTCGATAAAGCTTCAGCGTCTCGTGAGCATCAAGCGTTCACGTGCAGCCAGAACAAGGTGGAAGACAACTAGCGCAATCTGGAGGCCGCGTTGTCACCTTGGCCGAAAACGATAAACTTCCTTAACTTTTTATACTGATACCTCTTGTTTATTAAGAATCGTTCAACAGGATTATGCTCATTCGCAGGAGAATTCCTAACGCTATCGGTGCGAGAGATTTTGCTCGAATCCTAAGGCAAACTATTGTAACTCTGAACTATGTTGCAGGAATAACACTTGCGTCATTTCTTCCCGGCATTCGATAAATGCTAGTAAATGTTTTGCACCCTCAAATGTTTTCTGATTTTAATAGGGTTGTGTGAATATTCGAAATTTCGAATAGCAGTTGCGAAGAATACACTACTCGATATTCGCTTCGAGAAGAACTGCACTATTCGCGTTTATGGAAGTGTTGATTGCGGCAGGTTAGCCCCGTTGAGTGCGCTTCTTACCAGACACCGGTGCTCTGCGGAGAAGCAATACCCGCGGAAGCGATCTTTGCGTAGGTTGTTTCTCTGCATTACATCGGTGCTCGCTAAAAAGCGCACTCAACGAGGTAACCCGCCGCGATAAACACTTGGAAAAGTAGGAATATTGCGTGCTTGGAAGAAAAGCATACATTCAAAGCGGGATGGCGCACCCGTGCCGACTATAGACCGTTCCATTAGGGTCACAGGCAGAGAGGGTAAAATGAGAAAAAAATGCCCTCCCCCTCTCGCCCGCGTGTCGTCTGGTCCGCCGAGTGGGCAGTACCTAGCACCCGGCTGGCGTACAAACTCTGTTTCAAATCGCGTCATTTTTTGGAATTTCAAGCGCAGATCCGCAGATTTTGGCATGTCAGTTATCGTGTATTACTATGCTAGATAAAAAAAGGCTAACAGAGTCCAATTGCGCTGTTATCTGCGTGCAAATAAAACAAAATATAGAGAAAACACTGTCGGACTGGCCGGTCTCTCCGGCGAAAAGTAAATCCGGTGTCTGTACCTTTTTTACTATACAAAGTTCGTACTGGTGTAGGCCTTTCGCGACCATGAGTGGAAGTCTGAAATAATAAATAAAACGTGCTCTCCTGCCGCAATACACGCAGTAGTTGAGGGTAGTACTGCCGGCTGACTCAACTGCTATTTAAGTAACGGAAAAAAGATATGTCAGTTGATCATTTACCGAAGTAGAACTACAGAGAGCTCTAGGCTGATTTTGGAGTAGCTATAACTATTCTAAGAACGCGAACCACTTCACAACGGCAGCCACGAGCCAGAGTTCGATGTTCCGTACAGCCCGCCGATACAGCCCAAAGATGGAGAATGGCAACCTCCCGTTTCGTCGTCTGCTAGCGGAGTCGGGCCTGTGCCCTCTCTCTCGTTTTACCCCGCCGAACCCGCTGAATTTCCCGGATGTATGGAGAGGGCGCTGCTGTCGAACAAGATGGTGCCGCCCAGAGAGCGCTAAATGGAATGGTCTATATTTGAAAATGAATGGAAACTTTGTGAATCTGTATATCTACACTGTAGTAAAAGTTTCAAAATTAAACTGTTATGCAAGAGTACACTATGTTAGGCAGAGATGCCTTTACAACCTGCGTTCATCATGCGTGACTCCTTCTTTTTTAACTCGAGATTAGAGAAAGAATATTTATATAGCAAGATTTGTCAATTCACTCTATTGGGTATAGTTGGCCATCTTTATAGGATTCATTTTATGTCAAATCCGTCGTTTACTTGTCAACCCAAGACACCAGACCTTCTGGGGTCTAAGTCTATAAATATAGATAGATTAAACTCGGCTTATAAATGAACAAGTGGAACAACCTTCACAGGTTTAGCTGGGTTTTCGTCTAAGCATTATGCAATGGTTGTGAAAGCAACTAAAAAGTGAAAAAAAAAAAAAAAAAAACACAAGAAAAATGACAAGGAAGTAGACAGACAACAGCGCACTGTCTACATCCTTGTCCTTGTGTTGTTGGCTGTTTTTTTTTTGCGCTTTTTTGGGTGATCATGAACCAACTGCCGCAAATTGCTGCCATAGTGGTAGAGAAAGGCGTGGAAAAACTATTCGATATTCGAATCGGAAATATTTGGCCAAAACCACTATTCACTACGAATTCGCTTCGAACTCAAAATGCACGATTCGCAGTAGACTAGATTTTAACTTTGATTCGACATTCTTCTTCAGGCTGAATCGCTGAGCTTCCAGCTTCTTAAGGCTGTCTGAGTGTCTATGCCCCTCTGCGCTAGCATCATACATTAGACGTCAATTCGATTCAAAATAATGTCATTCACATAGGCTGAAATATAATATTATACCTCAAAACTCTCAGCCGGCGGACAAGCACATGTGTTGCGAACTTTCGCGTTCACTTGTATCGAGTTCGAAGTTAGAGACCTGCCAAGTAATAATGCAAAAACATTTAAACGAATACACGAAATCGCGTTTTAATTACAAATATACATAAAAGTAGAAACACAAATGAAGAGATGTTCACCTTCTGGCACTACCATAATTTTTTATTATGGTGCAGCATCCTCTGTTCACGTGACTCCAATTTTTTATGCGCAATAAATTAAGTGAGTTTAGCCATAGCCTCCTGTATACTCACAAAGCCTGGCAGTTCGGCGACGGAGCCATAGAGTGCCCAGTCGCAGATTTGGAGCGCGAGGATCGGGTAGCACAGAGCATCAAAGAGCCCTTTCTCGGGAAACCTGGACGGCAGCGCACAGCTTTTGCAGCGGCGAGGACCCAAAACACACTTGTTTGCTCGGGAGAAGTGTGTTTGGGCGTCTTGCCGCAGCGGGGCGCCAGTCACGTGGCTCCCCTCTCATCCGTTGTCTGCCGCTCCACCTTTTCCATTTCGGCGGCCGCTTCCCATGGCGACCTGCCAGGCTTTGTTAGTATATAGGAGGCTATGGTTTAGCTTGAGCGGATAAATTCCGCATTATTTGTAAGAAAAAAAATACAATACGCGAGCTTCAGGTCCACCCGCTAATTCTTCCAACCGTAGCTCGGCGTTCTGACAACCCCACGCGCTCTCGTTTCCTCCTCTCCCAATTTCTTGGCGCATTACACTTCACTTATTTTTCCGTGCATTCCTAACTTGTTGTATTTATTCCATTCATTGGCGATCTTTTGTGAGGTTCAAATATGTTCACTTGAACACTATGACAACATTGTGCTTTTAAACCCTTATAAATTTTAATGTGTCCCGCTGCTTAAGCTTAAGCTTAAGCTTAAGAACGCATGGTCTGGCGAGTTCTCAGTGTTTTATTATCGCTCCGTAGACAAACTAATTGAGGCATTGGCAGATAAGATCGTCAGAGAACGAACCGCGCGAGCTGTCGGTCACAGGCAGCAGGGCGCGATTTATAATGTCCATGCTTCATGCCTCGTGATTAATTCTTTGGCGGCGTTTCTTTGGCGGCTATGCAGAGAGCAGACGACTTGCTTTCCACATAGGCCTGTTGAACTCGGCCAAAGGGCGCGAGCGCGTCCACATGACGCGACCATGTAATGTTGGTTTCGGCGTCTCCGGGACGCGACCATGAAGGCAGATTTGTATCGTTCGATCATGCACGAGCTAAGTTCGAAGGCTAGCGTCTGTCAGCGTCTGCGTCAGTGACCTTAGATTGCATAATATGTCAAACCAACTCGCCCGAACAAGCACGCTTCCTAAGAGAGAACCCTACGCTTCATACAATGACCTCTTCAAGAGGTCATTGTATGAAGCGTGCGTCCTTACAGAGTACAATGGTGAACTCTTGGGGTATAGAAGCTCTTTTTTGTGGTTGTACTGGAAAGGGTGAAGCGTATCGGTACGCGTTGGCGGTGACCTTGGGAGGTGGTTATAAAAGCCGTGGACGGAATAAAATTTGTTAGCCGAGGTTGAGGCGTTTGTCTTTTCCCTTATTTCTCCGTCTTCTTAAGGCCCGTTCACACTCTTGCAACCGAGTACGACCGAGACGGACCGGGACTTTTTAAAACCTCTCAAAATTTCTTAGGACGACAGAACACGCTGGCATCCTGGCGCCATCTATGCGGTGACCCTGGAAATGCATTTCACGAGAGCGAAGGTTTTGCGGGATTTCCGAAGTCAAAGGTGCGAAATACCTATAATAAATGCTCGTTTATGATGTTGACTAAAGTTTTTCGAGCCAAGAAAGAAAGGATAATGCTCGAGAGAAATATAAAATATGCCGGACCGCCAGGCTTACACTGCTACTCAATAGATGGCGCGAGTGCTTCCTCTCGTTGTAAGTGGTTTGAAGGAACCCGGTTCTAAGAAGTCGCAAGAGTGTGAACGGGACTCTACCCTTTTTCTTTCCATTTTTGAGGCTTGATTTCACCTTATAACCTAGCCAATAAACGTTTGCCGTTATAGCAAGAAACATACACTTTTTTGTTTGTTTGTTTTTGTGAAGAACATAATTGTTGCTAGCAGTGTTTGTTGTTTTACAACTTCAGATGTTATCGCTTATGTTCAAGTTCTTCATAGTTTGTAAAAAAACGACCAATAAACACATGATCTTTTCTGTTTCGCACCTCCTTTCTCAAGTAACATATTGAAGAATCGGGACTATACATGCACGTGATGTATTTCAAAGACTGCTTATGGATTAACATGTTTGAAGAGCCCGTGAGATATATTCTCCCCTGTGGACTACACATACTCGATGAGAAAGTATAGTGGCGTCGAAATTCCTAGATTTCACACCGCGCGACACTTCAGAGCGAA